GATGTTTTATATGGATGCTTTTCATATATACGTATACATGTATATTTTACATATACATATATAAAAATGTACCTGGTAGTAAAAAAAAGAATCCATTAGAGCTCTGGCTGGTGTGGCTCAGTTGGTTGGAGCGCTGGCCCGTAACTGGAAGGTTGCAGATTCGATCCCCCGTCCTGGCATGTATGATCCTGGCCTGGGCACATACCAAAGGCAACCAATTGATGCTTCTCTCTCACATTGATGTTTCTCTCTCTCCCTTCCTCTCTCTCTCTAAAAAAAGCAATGGGAAAAAGTCCATTAGAATCATTGAAGATTCAGGAGCATCAAGACAAACAGCACACAACAAGCTGAGACTGAACATACTTTGGGAAACTATTTCCTGCAGGAAATAGAAGTAAATGCCAAACCTCACTGGCTCTAGTCTCAAAAAAATTAATGACATCTGGTTTCTTTTTTAAAATTTTTATGTATTGATTTTAGAGAGAGAGAGGAAGGGGGAGAGAGAAATCAATTTGCTATTCCACATATTTGTGCATTCATTGGTTATTTCTCATATGTGCCCTGCCGGAAGATTGAACCCACAACTTTGGCATATCTGGATGACACTTTAACCCACTCAAAGACCCAGCCAGGGCAGAAACCTGGTTTCTATGAGACAAGAGATTTTACAAATAAATTGATCAGACATTGGGCTGAAAGGAAAAGAAAAAAAGATATGAAAAGAAAGAGGGAGGAGGGAAAATTCTAGGATCAAGGTAGTGTCAGAAACACCCAAAGTTAAGTCCTCCCCTCTCCTACTTTCTTGCTGCAATAACTGCCCCTCACCACCCCAGTAGGAGAGAATCCTTGTACTGTCTTCCCCAGTATCCATCCCCACCAAGAGCACCCACATACCAAGCATATGTTTTAGTGTTTAGTTATAGACTCTTGAATAAATATAAGAGAGTTTGGACAATAACCTATATCAAATGAATGCTGGGAGATCCCTAACAGCTAAAGAACCTACGATTCCTAGAACTCATTAATTCTGGTAGCTAACACTTACTAGATGCATTCAATGGGCCCGATACTGTGTAAGCACTTTATGTTTATCTCACATACTCATGTAATAACACCGCTGAGTATTATGATTATCCTGTTACACAGATGAAGAAACTCAGGTACAGAGAGGTTAAATAACTTGTCCAAGGTCACACATCTAGTAATTATGGAGCCAGAATTCAAATCCAAACAGTCTAACTCCAGAGACACTAGGGGAAAGGTAATGAAGGTGCCACCAAGATTCAATATTTTTCCATTAGAATTTCCTCTCCCCGCCCATTAAATGATGTCGCTACATTCCTTACCAAGCAAACCAAGAGCATAAAACATGGATGTCTAGTTTTTTTATTTCTCTGGCTTTTAAATTTGTGAAAATTAAACTAACAATATTCCTCATGTTATTTGATTCTTTTAAATAAAAAATAATTTTAAAGGCAACTTTCCCTGGAACTAAAGTTCCTTTTGCAGAATCTGGATTATATTCAGAATTTGAAATGGAACATAAAACAGAACAGCGTTCAATGTCTGCACTGTTGGGTCGTTTATTTCAAGATCCTATAACTAAATGCTGTAAACTCACTTGATGCATGGAACTGAATTTCCATGGTGTTCAGTCATCCAAAACTTGACTGAGGGAGTGGACATTTGTTACAATGATCCTGCCAGGTGGCTGGGAAGCCAGTTTTGACCTTGAAGACATATTATATTGCAAAATACATTGTTTTTGTTTGCTCAATATTTTTTAGGAAAACTGCCAATGAGAACCCTATTTGCAAGTGACTTGTGTGTTTAAATGAGCCTATTTCCTTTAAACATTATGTATTTGAAAATCACGTGTCAAATAAAACACGAATTCTTTGGGCTTATTGTCAGTTGAAAATGATATTGCTCAAAAATAAGTATGTTATAAAGTATATAACAATGTTTTGTTGACCAAAAAACCTAAAATTTTTAAACCTTTTTTTAAAATAAGACTGTGTTCTTTCCTTCATGAAAATGAAAATTACTCCATAGTGAGAGGAGGAAAAAATTCGACATGGAAGATGGCCCCAAATAAAGTATAATGTTCATTAGTGCAGGTAATGAACCCTCATCAAACACAAAGAAACAATTTTATTGATGGAAAGTCCGTTTCTCTTCCCTTCACTAAGTAAATGGGTTAAATATGTAAAATGTGCTGTTTTTAAGGATTTTGAATTATTAACCTGCCTGTTTTGGATATGTCGTGGGTAAAGGGCTATTCCTTGGTGCCTTTTTTAAGTCCTTTGACAAAAGAGCTTAGGAACACCTAATATATCCAAGGGCAGTATACCACAAAGGCCACAAGGTGTCACTTTCAGACAGCCTCTTGCTTTGCAGCTAACAATGTAATTACCAGAAGTGTACCTACCAAGACATACAATTAATGCATCTAGATCAACAGAACTTTCCTTCTAATGTCCCTAAACCTAATACTCAAATCCTTTTTATTTTCCTCTTCACTTCTTTTTCCGATGGTGCAACCCTGAGCACGTTGGTATTGCTGCAGATTAGGGATGTCAATTTGAAAAATTTCTGTCATTTTCTTTTGGTCTTCACATTCAGTGGGATGCTCTGGGTAGGAATACAATCCCTTTATTACAGATGTGGAAAGCGAAGGTTGTAATCAGCCAATGAAAATTCCAGTGACCAAGTTCCCTGACACTCACTAACCCAGCTGGAGACTCTGCCCGCCTTGCACCTCCCCCATCCCCAGAATGGAGATGGTTGGGAGGTTGACTATTTTGATTTTTGGAAATTAATGTAAAATATCTCATACGTAACTGTTTAATATGAATTAGAATTTATTTATGTTTATAAAGTAAGGCTTTGGGGAATGTTCATGGGTGCTCTAAGCCACTTCGGGCTGTGTATCCCAAGGAATGGCTGGGTTTCCAAGGAAGTTCACTCTATTGTTAGTGGTATTAGTGCTTAGTGTATTAGTTTGCTAGGGCGGCATAAGAAAGCACAGATTGGGTGGCTCAAACAACAGAAATTTATTTACTCCATTCTGGAGGCTAGAAATTCAAGATTAAGGTGTCAACAGGGCTGGATTCTTCTGAGGCCTCTCTCTCTCGGTTTGTAAATGGTCCTCTTCTCGCTGTGTCTTCACATGATCTTCCCTCTGTGTCTTAATCCCCTCGTCTCGTAAGGAGGCGAGCCAGAGTGGAATAGGACCCACCCTAATGGCCTTATTTTAACTTAATTACCTTTTTATAGGCCTTGTCTCCAAGTATAGTCATATTCTGAAGTACTGGGGATTAGGGCTTCAACACAGGAATTTAGGGGGAAACAATGCAACCTGTAACAGGGGTGAAAAGTTGAGACACCCACATTACCCCTTCCCACTCCTCCTTACCGTGAGAATGATACTGTTTTAGTTTGTGTCCTTAATCTACAATGCCAGAGAACTGGATGCCACGTATTTCTTTCTCTAAAAAAGCTCTTTAATTAATCTTTTTCTATGTGACTCTATTCTGTGGAAGTAGAGTTTAGAAAAAAGGTTCATGATTCCGATTCTCGAAATAAGGAATTATATTAAACTCTGGAGCAATTTTAAAAAAAGGAACAGAATATTTTTAAACCATTTAAACTATACAAAATTTTTTAACTTGGATAATACAGAAAATAAAAATTATCCTTACACCCATCACCTAGAGAACACGCTACTGATGTTATCATCTTTCCAACTTTGCTTTCATACATACTTTGTTTTTAGCCAAATAGCAAGTTTTGCAAAAGGTTTTGTGGCCTCCCCGCCGCCCCCCGCCCCCCCGCACTGGTGTATATGTTTTATTGATTTCAGAGAGAGGAAGGGAGGAAGGGAGGGAGAGATGGAGAGAGAAAGATAAAGAACATTGACTGGCTGCCTCCCATAAGGGCCCTGATGGGGAACTGAACGCAAAACCTAGGCAGGTGCCCTGAGCCACATGGCCAGGACTGGCCTGCTTTTTTAACCTAGCACTTTCAGTATCATTCCACATCCCTCTGCAAAATCTACCTCATCAGTTACTTAACCAATTTAGGATTTTTGGACATTTATGATGCTTCCAGTTTTTTGAAGTAGTAAGTAATATTGTAACGAACATACATATTTGTAAGCTAAAGGGAGAAGAGGCTAAGAAACGGCTAGAGAGGTGGACAAAAACGGGGTCCACGGCCCAAATGGAAGAATGCGCCTAAGAACAGGGGGAAGGAGAGAAAGCTAAGGGCCAAAGTAGAATGAGGCAGCAAGTTGAGCGAGTTAGAGCCTAGGTACATTTACTACTTACCTGTACCAAATTTATTGAACCCAACCCCGCCCAGTGGTTTCTGCAAAGCAGCAGCCGGGCCGGAGGCCGTATATTATGCAACCGGCGGGGGAAAGTAGCGAGTGGAAGCTGGGACACAGGAAGTGGAAGCCGCTACACTAAAGCACCAGGGGGAAGGCGAATGAGAAGAATCCCCCAGTCGCGCCCTGAGCAGCACCGGAAGTGGCCCCTCCGAGCTCGGCGTCTTTCAGCCAATGGCCGCGCGATGCGCCGTCTGACGCACACCTGCACTGCACCTGGAGAGAAAACGCGGGAGCCCATACGGCGTGAGAAGGAACTCTCTTTCTACACCAGGGCAGTACAGTCAATGACAGAGGTGTCTTCCCCTTTCTCTCTCGCCGGTTAACTCTGCTCAGTAACACCACGTCTCCAACCCGAGAGCCTCTTCACGCCCTGTAGCTGTCCCTCAGTAAAGATGGCTGACTGACGCAGAAGAAAAGCCGGAAGTGGGCGGGGTATGAGGGTCCGGTAGGGGGCGTGTTATGGGCGTGGCTAGGCGGCCCAGAGGCCGGGAAAGGTGTGGCCAGCCGCCCGACTGGATTTTCTGTCTGCGAGGCTCGCTCCTGCAACCAGCCGCACCCCTCCCAAAGGCGGTCACCACTGGCCCCGCCCCCACGCGGAGATCCCTCTCTTCCCAGTTTCCCACTGAGTTTGAGATTTCTTCCGAGTTGGACTGGGGATCTCCAGATCTCCGCGGTCAGAGTAACGATGGAGGGTGCACAGGAGAAACCCTCGGAGTCTAGCTCCTCTGCGCCCGGGTCCATAGAGTCTACCGGCTTGGCCAGGGGCCCTGAGGTGTTGCCTCCCGAGGAGTCAGAGGGTTGCACCCGGCCGCTAGAGACGGCTTCCAAGAAACTCTGCGGATACTTAAGTAAGTTTGGCGGTAAGGGGCCCCTCCGGGGCTGGAAATCTCGCTGGTTCTTCTACGACGAGAGGAAATGTCATCTGTATTATTCGCGGACTGCGCAGGATGCCAATCCCTTGGACAGCATCGACCTCTCCAGTGCGGTCTTTGACTGCAAGGCGGACGCCGAGGAAGGGACTTTTGAAATCAAGACTCCCAGCCGGGTTATTACCCTCAAGGTAAATGGAGCGGTTTTTCCTTTTTCAGCAGAGATGAGAGAGCTCCAGGGCACGGCCGGGCGCCGGTTGGTCATCACAGTGAATTTACTGGAATTTACAGTGATCACCGACCCTGATCGCCCAATGAACACTGGGTGCACAGGCTTTTGTGCTTTCCGAAGCGAATTCACCCCCATTTGCGATTGGGTTTCCACAACAAAGGCAGGAGTGTTGGATCCGTAGTGGGGATCAAGAAACTGAGTCAGAAATAAAGGGTCTGGCCCGAGGTCAGGCATCCAGCGAGTGGTGCACAAAGCCCACACTCGGGATCTCACAGTCTTTCTACTTCTCAAACGGGCGTCAAAACTTTTACTTTTGGGTGTGTCTGACAATGCAGTTACCTTAACTTTCTTACTTGGGGCTGAAGTATAGTCAAGATACGACCTTAACAATCCTCTCTCAAGGCTCGGATCCTGAATCACTTTTCTTGATATTTTGGCCAAGAGGTGTGAATGCTGAGAAGATGTTGACAGGGATTGGGAGGTAAACATTTAGGTTTCACTGATCAGCCTAGATTGTTCATCAAGGCGTATCTGAACCTGTTTTCCCTTCAGAAGGTTTTGTTTAATCAGTGGAAAAGCCACATGCTCTGAAATCAGACAGGATTGGGTTCAACTTAAACATCAGCTACTTACTAGCTGTGTGACCCTGGTCAAATTTCTTAATCTCTCAGAATGTAGGTAGTTGTAAGATTTAAAACAAGATGTCTAAGAGTCTAGAACATCAAATATACCTACCAATTGCTGAATTTCTACTATCATATAGAATATAGCCTTGTACCTTGCAGGTACTCAGCAAATGTGTGTGGAATGAACACATGTGGTGGGGGAACCCAGATCAGAATGTTCATGCCAAGAGGAGAAGCCTCAGAGTTTAACTAGAAAGACAGATCCGAGCCATGAGTTCTAGGATTCACACTCATCAGAGGAGAATGTGTCAGGAGACAACCTTCCCTGCCCCACCCCATCCCCGCTCCCGCTTACTTCCAGCCACTTAGAAATCTGTTGAGGCCTCCAAATGCAGCCCACAGCTTCAGTTTTCCTTTACTGGCTAGACCTGGTTGGTGACCAGAATCGGGAGATCAGCTAAAACATGAAAACCAGGAATTCCAGGCCAGAGTAGGACGGCATTTCAGAAGTCATGTGGTTTACAGGTCATGTGTCTCCTTCCACATGTTGCATGCTGTCTACAGGGTTTCCACCACGTGTCTTTTACTATTGACCCATGTGTGTGCCTGGCTCGGTACTAGGCACTGGGGTATGGTGCCAAATCACACCTACCCCCTGGTGCTCAAACAGTTTAAGGTCTGGTGACAGAGACTGACAGGGAGATTGGCATGCACAGTAGAATGTTCTATAGAGACACTGGAAATCTATACCAGAAGAGTGTGGTAACAGAAGGGGTCAGTGCTACCGAGTGGGAAGGATTGTCCAGAAAGGGCATCATAGAAACGGGGACGATACCTGAATCTCGAAAGAGTACATCAGTTTTCTACAAGCAGACAAGAGGGAGAATGTTATTTCAGGTCAAGAGAGCCCTATGAACCAAGATAAGAAAACATGCTACTGCCCAGAGTGTCCAGGCAAATCCCAGGAGCCTGGGGCACAGAGGGATCCAAAAGATGGAATGGGAGAACAGAGGCCCCAAGGGGGAGGGAGGGGCGTCTGTGAGTTATGATAGGGAGCTTAGACTTTGTCCTGTGGGCTGCGGGACAATGCCAGAGAGCCTTAAGCAAGGAAGCACTGTGATATTCGAATGTCTAGAATGCTCAGTCTGGCTATTGGGTAGAGAACAAATTAGAAGGGAAGGCCGGTGGCCAGGGAGTCCAGCAGGAGGGGATCATGGGAGAATGATGGCTGAGCTAGAGCTATGACAGTAGAGAGGGAGACAGTGGCCAGGGATGTGAGGCAGGAAGAATGTGAGAGAGGAGTCAGATGGCACTGATGGAGTGAGCCCAGGACAAGGAGACGAGGACATCCAGGTGTACGTCCCCCTCGGTAGACCCTTAAGTTCCAAGACAATGGAGGCCATGCACATTGGCTCACCACAGACTCTCCAGGGCCTCCCATCGTCCCTGACACATATAGTAGGTGCTCAGTACACACCTGTCCAATGAATTAATAAAAGGGGTTTGGGTATGGGCTGGAGCTTGTCCGCACAGGGTCATGGTGAAACCGTGAGAGGGCCTGACGTCTCTTAGGGAAAGTGTATAGCAAGAGAAGACTGGTGGGCATCATTTTATTTCATTTGATACCTTCATGACAGGCCGAGGGGCTCTTTCATGGAGCCCCCTGGCCTGCTGCACACTCACCTGTGAGCCTCTTGAAAGGGGGAGCAGGACCTGGTTGCCTGCAACCTGCTGCTTTTCTCACGTGTCCTTGACTGTGAACACGTGAGGCTCTCTATCCACTTCCAGCGAGCTGCCCAGCTTCTGTGCCCAACTGACCCCAGGCCCTCTGTACACAGGCTGCATCTCCTGGCCATAAATTAAAACAAAGCTCAGGTCAAGAAGTGGGAGACCCAGGTTTTGACACCAGTTCTAATGCCACCTGCCTGAGCAACTTCAGAACCTTAGTTTCTCCATCCATAGAAGGGACCAGTCGTTACTGTCCTGTCTTCTTCCTGGAGGATCTGGTGATGTAATGGATGTGGAATAGGTATTTGGACCATCCAGCGCTAGGAGACTAATGACCAGCATTAGCCATTAGCTGGTTGGGGTGCCTGGAGGGTGCCACTTTGTCATAGTGTGCATACGGCTTTCCTGTCCTCAATCATACACATGATTTCGGTGTACCCGCAAAACAGGAGGAAGTCTCCATTCCACAGAAAGTCAGCTGAGACACTGAGATATTGCACAAAGAGCTAGAAGTAGTGATGGTACCAGGGCTCCACCCAGGTCAGAATTTCATAGCTCCTACCTTCTCTCTGAGCACCTCCAAACTCCTTTACCCAGTGAGCACATTTGGAGGACCTACTGTGTGTCAGGTACTATGCTGGGCACTTTATCTTTCTTACCTCATTTCATCCTCATAACCAACAGCCCTACAAAATGAGTGTTATCATCACCATAGTACAGATGAGGAAACCGATGCCCAGAAAGGTTAAGGAACCTCTAAGTGGGAGACCAGAACCTGATTATTTTCTATGGCCAAGAAGCATGGGGTGTTTCAAGGTGGGCAGCCAACCACAGTGAAGTTTTTTTTTGTCTGGGACGGAGAGAGTTACCAAGCCTCCCTTAATCTTCCTACATTCCATGCCCAGTGCCACCCTGAGGGCTCAGGGCCTTGCCAACTAACCCTTGTGCTTCTCAGGCTGCCACCAAGCAAGTGATGCTGTACTGGCTGCAGCAGCTGCAGATGAAGCGCTGGGAGTTCCACAACAGCCCGCCTGCACTTCTCGCCGCCCCCGACGCTGCCCTGGCTGGGAACGAGCCTGCCCTGCGCCTTGAGCTAGGTACCCAATGGGCTCACCTCCTGTGCACACCCAGAGCTCCTGGTCACTAAGCCTGTACCCTGCTGTTGGGAGTGAGTGGGAGGAGCCCTCTGCTAAAGAAGCAGAGAGCCAGGGATGTGACCCGGGATCAGTGAAGGCAACAATATAGCATCAAGTGCAGAAATATGGACTCTGAGGCCAGGCCGCCTGAGTGGAAATCCTTATCTTGTGTGGTCTTAGGCAAGTTACTTAACCTTTCTGAGCTTCAGTTTCCTTCTCTGTACAACGAGGTCAATAAAGATATTATACCTACTTCTTAGGGTTATGGTGAGGATTAAGTGAATCCATACACTTTACGTGGTTGGAACAACAGCTGCACGTAGTCAGAGGTCAGGAAGTGTCAGCTGCTATTGTGATGGCCATTACGGGGATGTCTTAAAAAATGAAACTTTCACAGAGTTGCTATGAGGAAGGTTAGTGAGAAAGTGCAGTTATTGTTTCTGCTTCTTTACACAAACGTTTTTGCGCTGTGAGTCGAGGAGACCAGTGATTTTTGATCCCTGGTGTTCCCATAGGCCAGAATCCTTCACCCCTACATGGTCCACAAATGAAGTTTCTCAATCCCAAATCGTAGAACATCCCAGCAGGGAGGAGTCCGGGAGATCACACCCTCCCACCCCCGTGCCAAGCCCAGAATATGATTGGGAGACTTTGGAATCAGGACAGACCACCCACAGCTGCCCCTGCGAAAGCATAGAGAGTGAGGTCTCAGCACAGACCTGCAGCGTGTCTAAGGTGCCCCGTCCTCAGTTAACAGGGAGCCAAATGGGGGACGGCAGGACTGTGGCCACGCGCATCCCAGACCTCCACACCCAGATGTTTTACACGTCCCAAACGGAGCTCCCAAACGGAGCTCCGCTGCCTTGGCCCTTCTCCCCGAGTTTTCCTTCCCTCAGCAAATCTCCCCACTTACGCAGCTGCTCCAGTAACCAGGAGCCACCCAGTTTCTTCCCAGATCTCAGCCGGGCCAGTCAGTCACCAGAGCTGGCCATGTCCCCCTCTGGCCTACACATCGACCTGGGTCCCCTTTCACTGCCGTTGACTTGGGTCAGGCCTCAAATCTAAGCTAGAAAATCATAGCAGCCTCCTCTCCGGTGTCCCCATGTCCCAGCCTGCCACCTCCAACCAGCGTCTTTACTGCAGCCAGCCTGAGCTTCTAAAATGAAAGCCTGAGCCCCACCCCGCTTCCCTGGCTGCTCACTGTGTCCCGGGTCCAGTCCCAGCATCTGGCACCATGCTCAGCCCTTCCTGCTCTCCCCTCTGCCCGCCCCCCATGCCTGCCTTGTGCTTTACGCTTCAGCAGCACTAGGGGCGCCTCTGCCCTCTTCTCTGCCTGGCAAATTCCTGCTGCCTCTCAATGGCCAGGCTTTAGTGTCACCTCCTCCTCTTACCAGCCTCCTCTTGGAAGCCTCTGGGACTTTGCTGCTGGACTTCATATGAGCCCTCAACACTTTCAGACAATTCTCAGGCCTGTCACATTGTATTCTAATTAGGGTGTCCTTGTCAGTCTCTGTCCACTAGCCTTCAAGGGCGGGGGCTGTGTCTGTCACCTGTGTCCCTACTACCTCGTGCCCTGCCTAGCACTTAGGATATTTGTTGAGTGAGTGTATAAGCAAATATATTGAATTTTATAATTAAATGAGGAAAGGAACATAAAGCCTTTAGCATGACACCAGGCACATAGTGTTCAATACATGGCAACTGTCCAAATCATATTACTATATGTGTACATGTACACTATTACTATACAATAATCGTGTCTTTTTATTGTTAATAATCATCACCAATTTCTGCTTGTAAGAGCTTTGTTTGGGGAAGGGTTTATTTATTTTTGCTTCTACACTTTTACTCTGCCCCCCAACTACCCACCTCTGAGAGAGCCAAACAACACTGGCTGTTCTGAAAACTGCAGCTTGAGTTGATACAATTCCCCGTCAGCCCTGGGCCACAGCAATGGGAAACCCACCCTGACTTGAAATGGGAGGGACCAGGTTATCAAAAGAGTAGCTTTGGGATCCCACAGGTTCACCTACTGTGCTGAACCCTTCCCAAGTTCTTGAATTCTGTGGCTTTGGTTCAGCGCACTTGGCGGGCCTCTTCCGGGCCGGCTCCAGCTGTGGGCATGGGGGCAGGGGAGTGGTTGTCATGCTGACCAGGGCGCCAGTCTCCAAAGGAAGATGCTGGGGAGATGCAGGAAGCAGGGATGTGGCCCTCTCCTGAAGCCTTAATCGTCCTGCAGCAAGCCCTCACCCATCCAGACCCAGGGCCTCCGTGAAACCCTCCCCAGCTGACCCAGAACGGCATTTCTGGAGTCTTGAGCAATCTGGCAGGCCCTGGACTGGCGGTCTGCAGCAGGCTGCCCACTTCTCCGGTCTCTACCCTTCCCGGGAGGAAGCAGAGGCCTGCCACCAGGGCATTGAAACCTACTGGCTCACGTCTGACACTGAGTCACAGACATGTCGTCTAGTACAGAGTGTCTCATGACTGCCTTTGAGCGTCCACAAGGCATGTTCTCTTCAGCTTGTAAGTGTTCAGACCTTTATTTTCAATTTTGCCTGGACATTGGTCTGTCTCCACAGAGCCAAGAAAGATCAAGGGGAAGCCAACAGGTTGATAATGACATGTTGCCAAAGTAGAACACATTTTGCAGAGCACTTTTATAAATGAATGGCATCATAAAAATATGCATACCGCTTACTAACTCTGTTGTGGCCTTTTATATGCATCATCTATCTAACCATCACAACAATCGTTTGAGATCGTTACTGTTATTCTCGTCTTGCAGAAGAGGAAACTGAAGAGGCCAAGGGGCCTGTCCAAGGTCAAACAGTACAAAAATGTTAGTACTGAAATTTGAACCCTAATCTGCAGACTCACACCCCCATCCTCAGGCTGAGGAGACATCTGGCCAGGGCGCTCCAGGAAACCAGTGACCTGCTGGCCTAAGCCTTATTTGTTAGGCACTGACCTCTTCCTCCTGGTAATGGGGCCGCCTCTACAGTCCAGGCTAAAGGAGGATGACAAGTAAATGCTGCCGAGAATTCTTGGTATGGTCATCTCACTGCAGGCATTTCTCCAGGCTGGGGAAACGGCCAGACTGACAAGGGTCTTGGGTCAATCTCTTTCCTCTAGGAAGTGCTAACCTTCACTGTGGCGGCACCGTTCTGTGCCTCTTGTTCTTCGGACTCCGCTTTGCACTGGTGAGCTTGTACCTTCCCGGGCACCCCTCCATCCTTGGAACTGTCTGCTCATCAGAAAGGAAAAGTGAAGAACTGTGTTGAATCCATGGCTTGGCTTGAAGTTGTGCAACCTTAACTGCAAAATTCACCTTCTCTGAGCTGCCTGTTTCTTCACTGATGAAACCAACCAGTGGTGACATTTACCCCCAAAACTTAGTTCTGTGTGACCTCAGAATAGATCTAGAGCCACAGTTGAAGTTAAAGGAAAACAGATACTGGCAGTTAGGGAAGTACTTGCCAAGACATTTTAAAATCTTAGAAAGTAATTTTTTGTTTGTATGTTCTGAATGAGGGAGAATAAAGATGGTTACAGTATTGATAAACAAGGAAACCTTAGTTATTTTGAATCAGTTCAAGGTCTGGATCAAAGACTACTTTGAAAGATGTGCATCTACACTATGGGGCTTTGTGGTTTTCAAAACATTTTCATGCACTTTAAGGCTGAAGGAGACAGAGTGTAGAGCGGCCTTCCCGTTTTAAAAATATGGAGGCTGAAGTCGAAAGAGAAAAAGTGAACAAGCAGCCAGGTCCTAGCGCTTTCCCGGGAGAAACGGCTTGGCCTCAGGTCTTCTGACTCCACAGCTGCAGCCCATTCTGGTCAGCCAGGTTTCTTCAGGCTCCTGCTGAAACCCCCGGGGGCCTCTGCTGTTTCAGATGACATCCCATCTTAGCCTCCCCCTTCCCACCTGTCGTCATCAGCTCCTTCTCCTCTTGGGCCCTCTTGGCATTCTCAACTCTGGCTCTAGAACCCCCTGCTACTCACACAGGAGGATCTTCCCTCACTCCTGCAGGTCCAGCTCCAGTGCCCTTCCTCCAGTAACTCTTCCTGGACTCGAGCTGGAAGGAATCTGTCTCCACCTCCCAGAACTCCCTGCCCTTCATCTGGCCTGCCATCCAACTTCCACCCAATTGGTCTAACTAAAGTGTGCACTTCCCTGCTCCTCACTGCTCCTGAAGCCAGGAGCTTACTGTGCCTTTGAATATCTCACTTCTCCAGCCGCACCCACCTGGAAACCTCAGGATAGATGCCCAGACTGCTGAGAAAGTGAATTGAAGGGAGAAACTCAAAAGAAAGACTCGGTATGGCAAAGTCTGCTGGATTTGAAAGAGCCTCTTAAGGATCGACAAATGATTGTTTGCAAAGTTTATTTCTGAGAAGATTGAACAACTCTCCCTGGCTCCCACCATTGCAGTTAATGTTTTTGCGGATGTAGTGCAAAAAAAATTTTCTCTACCCCTACATTTTCACCCTCTCAGTAAGAAGGGTCCCAATGAAAGGCGTCTGCTGCCCTGCAGACCTCAGGGGCTGCCTGATCAAGCTCACACTGTCCCCTAAGTGGCTTTGCTTCTCTTCCACTTTTTGTAATACTCTAATTTCTGAATATTTAACCTCCCTCTTATACCTCAAATAATGCTTCCTTCGCCTTGAAACCTGCCTTAATATTAATTTTTTTTAAGTACTCACTGTATAAGAATCACTATTTAAGCAGAACGTTCGGAAAACATAGAAAAGTAGCCATAAGCCTATCACGCAGAGACAGCCAGTGTTAACACTACGTTATGACTTCCCACCTGCCTTTTTAAATGTATTTCCAATCAGATAACAATGCAAAATGCTTTACTTTCATTTTTGGTACTCAGTATTATGACCCATAAAATATCCCTGTGTTATAAAAACCTCTTTATTTACATCTATTTTTGATGAATATATTACTTTTATGTTTATAAAAGTAATCCATGTTATTACAGAAAATTTGGGGGGAAGAAAACAGAAAACTATAGTAAGTGGCCTGCTCACTCCTAATTCCATCATGCAGTCTAACTGCCGTTAAGATTGCGAAGTATTTCTTTGAGACTTTTCCTATACAATGGAGATCATACTATACCCCCACTTTTTTAATCTGGCATTTTCAACCTAATATTATGTCCCCTAATGTTATGTTCTTAAGCATTCTTCCTCAGCATCATTTCAAGTGGTTAAGTAAGTCCATTGTCTGAAGGCGGCATCATTTATTTAACCATTCCCCAGATCTTTACGTTATTTTCAGTTTGAGGCTAAACTATACCAGGATGAACATCTAGGCTCATAAAGCTTTATCTGCATTTCAAACAACTTCTTTAGGATGGATTCTCAGATGTACAAATATTTGCGGTTCCACATACTTTTAAAGGGTTTCTGGGAAGGCTGGTGCAGCAAAATGCATCATTTTACTTGGTGCAGAACATTCAGTGAACCACCTGCCTTTTGGCCACTGTTAGCCTACAAGGAAGGCTAGTTCTCACTGACTCCCACCGCAGCTGAGGCCGTAGCACCCACCTGTCTGGTCTTTCCAGTGCAATGACTCCGTGGGTGACTCCCTTTTCTTTGTTCCCCAGAGCAAGAGGAGGTGGAGCTGGAGGAGTTCCTGTGCCCAGTGAAAACGCCCCCTGGACTCGTGGGTGCAGACGCAGCCTTGCAGCCAGCCCCCGCCATGCCCTTGGCCCTTCAGAATATTTCCCTCAAGCACCTGGGAACTGAAATTCAGTAAGTGCTGGTGGGGGCTGAGGGCTGGCCAAGCCGCAAGCAGCCCCTTCTTCAGAGCTCACTGTGATCTGGGCTGATTCCCAGTAGGGAGATGGGTCTGGGGAGCGGCTAGGGGTTTTATTTTCAATTCATCACGTCATTACTTTAAAATATTATGTTCAGTGTTCTGATTTTAAAAGTAGTGCATGTTCTTTGTAGGAAATCAGAAACATCTCAAAAGGTATGAATTTAACATTATCCATAATCCTGTCACCCAAACAAGCATTCTTAGCCTTTGGTGGATCTCTTTACTCATTTTCTATACACATAACGTGCATAGTTGAGATACTACTGAATGTAATGTGGTGATGGTTTTATGAATGTCTGCCTATGTCAAATGCATTACATTACTCACTTTTAACATGTAATTTATTGTAGTCCATCTTAGCCACTCTTTCATTTAATAATGTACTATACGTAAAATTTCCCATTGGCAGCCTTTGTTTTAAGTAGTTAAGAAGATAGCAATATGGCCTGGGTGTCAGAGTCAAACTACCTGGATTGGTATCTTGGCTCCATCAGTCAGGGGCTGTGGTATCCTTGGCAAGCTGTTTGATTTCTCTGTGCTGCACTTAAATTGTTAGTAAACATAAAATTCAGCAGTGCTTGCCTTGTAAGACTAGTGTAGGGGTTAAATAGCCACATGTAGACTGTTTTAGAACTGTGCTTGGCAGTGGGTAGGTACTTAATAAATACAGGGTGGGCAAAAGTAGGTTTGCAGTTGTTCATTTGAAAAAATAATACAGTAATTAAATAATAGTGCAAGAATAAACTCTGTGTTTCACACACTCACAACTGTAAAGCTACTTTTGCCCCCACCCAGTATTATCTGTTACTATTATTGTTGCTCTACGTGAAGGAATGGAAGCTTCAGGGAATTCAAACTATACTCAGTAGTGACCTTGTTTAGGTACGTCTTTTCTGTAAGGACTTCAGACTGACTAGACCTCTGAGAAAGCAGAAGAGATTGTTCACTGGCCTTGGACTAGAAACCCTTGGCTCTGTGTGACTCAGGCGTAGCATTCCCTGCTCTCAGCCTCAGAGTCTGAATTTGCTTGGGTAACTAGAAGGGCAGTGACGCTGTTCCTAGGATGGAAGCAGGTTCTAGAGGAAAGATGATGAGTGTTCTTTAGGGCCTGGAGGTAGAACTACCCAATAGGCACTGGGTGGAGGAAACTGGAACTCGGAGGAGAGAGATCTGAGCTAGAAAGAGAGACCTGGGGGGTCCGGGGGCATGGCGGATTCCCCCCAGTGTGAATGGACAAGGAGGGCACCCTGCTGAGGATCTTCCCTTGGGAGGGAGCTGGGTGCATTGTGAGCCTGATGGGAGATTTGAGGGGACTGAGAAGTCCAGCCATCCCGCTAGTACACACTGTAACTGTATCCAGGGTGGTCTCACCAAGATTAAGCCAGGTTTCTTGCCTGAGGAAGACCACAAACACCAGAAGTGGAACAGAGAGCATGCAGAGACCAAGAAAGGAAGAAAGTTCCCGGGTCAGTCAGTTATATCCCTCCCGACACTGCAATAACCAACAGAAAACGCAGGGCAGTATTGCTGGTGTCCGGGGAGAGCCCAGTAAGGTCAGGGTTGCCCTGGTTTCTGGTACCCCCTTGCCATGGCCGGTCTTAGAGCCTCCAGTTGGGTCTGCCATGAACCCAGGTCATAGTCTGGGGAAGGGAGTAAGGGAGCTTCCAGAGCACTGTACTAGGAGCTTTATACTCTCATTGAGGCATCTGGACAACCCTGTGAAGTAGTATTGTAACAGTTAAGTTCTCAGCCTGTGAAATCAGATGTCCAGGTCTGATGCTCAGTCCTACCACTTACCAGCTCTGTGTCTTTGGTTACTTACTCTTTCTGAACCTCAGTACTCCTCTCTGTACAGTGGAGGTAATAATAGTACTTACTCCACTGGGCTGCTGTGAGGATTAAATGCATTGAATGCATGTGTGTGAAGCTTAAATGGGTTGTATTGCTAGTGTTCAGCTTAGAGCCTGGTCCATGAAGGGCCTCATTGTTTGTTGTGAATATGCTCCTCATCCCCACTGCAAATGAGGGAACCCAGGCTCAGAGAGGATAAAGGGCCTGCCTACCGTTTTCTTTCCAGAAGAAGCCCTTATGACCACTACCTTCATACTGACCAGGCCTTTTGGACCTGGAGCTAAACCTACCCAGAAAATGATCTATGAACTGCTCCAACCCAAGTCAATAAAATTATGAAATGGAGATGCCTCTTCCAAGTGAAATAGTTTGGCTGAGTAGTAGCCACCTCTGATCTGTGGCTATAGCCAGTGAGCTCCCCATCTGCTGAGGAGATGTGGGGGGAAGCTTAGAAGGCCCTTTACTGTCCTGGGGTTGGGCTTCTATGCCTCCCACACCCCAGGGATGATGCTTGTGAGCTCCTGGACATGGTGGGGAGGCTGCAGTTCCTGGGCAAGGGGAAGTGTGGGCGGCAATGATGGTCACCCCACGCAGGCAGTTCCTCCAATGTAGGGATGTGTCCCTGGGTCCTCTCCAAGTCATGTGGCTTGTGGTTTGTGAGGTACATTGTAATGGGGCTCAGCACAGGCCCCAGCACAAAGTGATACTCAGTAAATAGTGCCCTTCATGACCTTCATCATTCTTTTCAATCTGACTACCACCCTTCATTTTTAGATGGGGCGCATAAGAACCGGAAAGGGGAAGTGACTAGCCCAAGGAGTCAGGGGCTCCTTAAAATAGGACGTTAATAATAACAGAGTAAAAGTAGTCAGAGATCACATAAGTGTTGAGAGGGCTGAGTTCTAACTTTTCTTCTCTCCGTGATTTAACCAATTAATTTTTCCCTCCATCATTAAGCTGTACTCTTCATTAAAGTACAATCTCATTCTCTTCTTTAGTTGGACCCAACCATACCAAAAAAGTGGGTTTTCTTTTAAAGATGTTTTAAATTAAATAATGATTCTTTGAAAAAAATCAGCAAAATTGACAAGCCTTGAACTAGACAGACCAAGAAAAGGCGTAAGACTCAATTAACTAAAGTCAAGTACAAAAGAGGGGACAATGTGACCAACCTTATGGAAATAGTAAGGATTATAAGGGCATACCTTATAATCAGTTGAACAGTTATATGCCAACATATTAGATAACTTAGATGAAATACACAAATTCCTGGAAAGACACAAATTACTAAAACTGACTCAAGAAGAAATAGGAGGTCTGAGTAGACCTATATAACAAGAGGTTGAATTAGTAATCAAAAAACTACTCACAAAAATAAACAAAACAAAACAACACCTAGATCAGATGACTTCACTGGTGAACTCTACCAAACATTTAAAGAATAATGAATACCAATTCTTCACAAACTTTTCCCTTCAAAAAGGAGAGAACACTTCCCAATTCATTCTCTAAGGCCAGTCCTACCCTGATTACCCGGAGCCTTCTCCTAGAATTTCCTTTTGTTAATTTTCATGGCAGGCATGTTTTTTCTAAGCCAACTCTTCACAAAGGGTATGGATTTTCAGGAGTTCCAGCTTTATGTAAAATCTCAATTTCAGTTCTACACTTTGTATGAGTTTTAACCTTGTTTTCTTTTCTTGCTTGCAACCAAGACCTTGGGTTTTCAGTATCAATAGTTGGTCCCTGGTCTTACACACACACACACACACACACACACACACACACAATTTTAACTATGTGTGGTGATGGATGTTAACTAGACTTATTGTGGTGATCACACACATACACACACACACACACACACACACAGAAAATGTTGTATACCTGAAACAAATATAATGTTATTTGTCAATGATAATCACAATGTAAAAAAAAGCAAAGAACAGACATACTGTACATCCTAGTCAACTCTCATGACAATAATACTGCGAACAAACACTTCAAAATTCAATGTCATATAGTAAGCATTTATTTTGTACCCATCTGGGTTCAGCAGATAAAGGCTAGGTTCACTTGGTTGTGACTCTAAGCAATTGGTAAGATCTAGTTCTAGTCCACATATTTCTCATTTTCTCCAACTGGCAGCTACCTGAGGCAAGTTCCTCAAGCCTATGTTTATATCACATCTGCTAACATTCCCTTTGGCCAAAGCAAGTCACATGGCCACACCCAAAGTCAAGAGGGGGCGGGGAGGTACTCTGCTTCCCTGGAGATGGAGGGAGAGGAGTGAATACTGGCATACCTTGTTTTGTTACACTTCCCAGATACTGTGTTTTTTTAGCATTTAAGTTCTGTGGTAACCCTGCATTGAGAAAGTCAATCAGTACCAAATTTTCAGCAGGCTTGGCATTTTTTAGCAATAAGATTTTTTTTTTAAATAAGGTTTCTCCATGGTATGCCTGTATTTGCTGAACAGTAGTCTACACATTCATCTCCCTCTTGTGTTTCCCCTTGAATTTCACCTCCTTTTTCAGATTTAGTCCCTAGGGACTTCTCTTCCTTTTCTGGGAACTCAGCTAAATATTTATGAAGTATGTTTTGTATTTATCTAGCATTCAGGTGTTTTGGAATGAGGGTTTTTCGTAGTAATTTGCCCCCCATAATGCTGGAAGTACACTTTGCATGTTAGTGTGATATAGCAAAGCCAAGATTCCACCACAGACCTACGGACTTTCCCATCCTCTTTTGACCATGCTATTGCTGCCCTTAAATCAATGACTTCCTAGTGTAGTGGTTTCTATCACAGTGTTCACACATATATATTTCCCAAAGTATTAACCCCCTCTAACTGTACATTCTTATGTTTTCCATTTTGTTTTTTAAATGTCGATCATGATACTAAATTGATTTTATAATCTCCCGATGGTTTATTAACTTGTAGTTTGAAAGACACTGACCCACTGAGCTCCTTTAATCATTTTCTCTTCCTTGGTATTAATTTTGGAATATGTCTACTTTTCTATCTTTGCAAAGGGAAAATAAACTCAACTAAACTGTCTTTTCATCTGACTCATTATGCATTCCTCTGTGGTCCCTGGTCCTAGGCCAGCCTTTGGTTCTACCTAGTTGCTCCCTGCAAACCAAACATGTATTATTGAGCTCGCAGTCTGGGCACATGCAGCCCCAGTGCCAGGTGCCAGCAGGCATGTGCCAGGTGCCAGGGGCCTTTTCTTGTGAAGAAAAGGCATCTTCATTATTCAGCCTAGACAAGTGCAAGGCACAGGGTGACCCATTCATCAAGTACAGTGAGCTCCTTTGAGGCTCCAAGGTGGTGACCAGTGAAGGCTTCCGAGAGAACGGATCAGAGCAGGGAAAGAACGCGGGAGGAGAAGGGTGCCTGGAGATGTTCGGGACTTCTCAGCAGAAGTAGGGAGCCAGTGATGGCTTCTGAGCCGGGTGGTTATAAGACCAGATGAAGATTTTAGGAAAGTTAGTTTGGCAAGTCCATTCAAAATTCATTTAGCACATATGTAGAATGTATTTCAGGCACTGTTCTAGGCATTCAGAATACTTCGGTGAACGAAACAGACAGGCTCCCTGCCTTCATGGAGCTTATACTCCAGCAGTGGGGTTGGGACAGGGCAGTGAAGCTTATATTGTTCATAAGCAATATTATGGAAGGTGATTAAGTACAATGAAATAATGGAAAAGAGAGGGGTGAGGGGGATTAGGAGTGGCTCGGGTGGGGTGCATCGTGGAGGGCACTTGGGGTCTAGCAGACTTGATCAGGCCATGGTTGGGGGTAGGGACGCGGCTGAGCTCCAGCAGTGACAGTGGGGAGGAGAGGCACAGAATGGCAGGGCTCTCAGCCGCGCACTCCTCTGCTTGCCTTCAGAAACACGGTGTACAACATCCGGGGCAACAGGCAGGCCCAAGGAACGGGCCACGGATCTCCAGGGGATGATTCGCCGCAGAGCCGGGAGCCTCAGAAGGAGGAGCAGCCCCCAGTGCCTGACCCCAGCGCCCCAGGTGAGCCTCTGCCCCAGTCCGAGCTGCCTTCAGAGACCAAGGGTGCTTTTGTATGTCAACCGCGGACTCTCCGGGTCATTGCTCCCGGGTTTACGGGTCTAGTAGCAATGATTTATGATTGTTGTTGTTGTGACATATACATAACATAAAACTTAACCACTTTTAGGTGTATAGTTCAGTGGCATTAAGTACATTCACATTCTTCTGCAGACATCACCACCGTCCACCTCCGGAACTCTTCCTCTTCCCCACCTGAAACCCTTAGCCTTGGTTCTTGAAGTAATAAAGGGAAATCTCACTCACTTTCTTACTTCTTTTTTTAATTTATAAGGAAAGGATATAAAAGTTCCCTTCTGGGGTGATTAAAATCAGTCAACTCTGCCTGAAGAAGCAGAGCCGATGGCCTTTAGGTGTCCCCCCAGCTACGGCAGCACGTAATTATTTCTTTCCCAAAATGTGAGTGACCCACACCACTGGGAGGAGGGTGGCTTCCTTGAAAGTAGATGCCCGTAGGACATACTTTAACTTAGAAGTGTTGGGAGAAAACTGGCTGAGGCAGCATCGTGGGGGTCTTCTTATAGCAGAGAGGACCCCCGGGCTGTACAGAAGTGACTCGAGAAAAAGCGTCCCTTTGGAGCAGTGCCTGGTGAGACCCCACAGATCACAAAAACAGCTCAGGAGAAGATCAACACTGTATTGAGTCAATAATAATGGTGAAATTAGCACTTCCATATAGCAGTTACTGGCTTTGTGCCAGGGCTACTCTAAGCACTTCAAGGGGTGGTAACAGTTGTACTAGGATATATATAATTCACATACCATACAATTCACTCATTTGAAATATACAGTTTAGTGGCTTTCAGTATATTCACAGAGATACAATACAACCGTCACCATAATCAATTCCAGAACATTTGTGAATACCCCCTCCCCCCAAAAACCCCATATATCCCTCAGCCATCAGTCCCAATCTCTACCTCCCTCCAACTCTAGGCAACCACTAACCTTCTTTCTGTCTCTGCACATTTGCCTATTCTGGATAGTTTATATAATTGGAATCATACAACATGTAGTCCTTTCAGACTGGCTTATTTCACCTCGAACCTTTGCAAGTTTCAACCATGAGCAACAAGCGCTTTACCTGCACTAACCTGTTTAACTCTTACAACAACCTGAGCGGTAGATACTGTTGTTCTCATTTAGTAAGTGAAGGAGCTGAGGACAGGAAAGTAGAGGGACTGGCTCTTGGTTGCACAGCCAGGGGCAGAGCTGGGATTCAGCCTGGGCCTTCCGGCCCCATAGTGTGGCCTGAAGCCTCGTTTTCTAAATCAGTGATTTTTAGGACCACGTCTTTATTTCCCTGAAACCTAGATGCCACACAAAATCTGATACACAAAGCACATAAAAGCCGAGTTGAGTCGGGTGGGAGTCTGGGCTCCCCTTGGTCCCTCACCCTCAGCCCCTCTGAGTCATCACTCCCCCGAAATCCTAGGGCACTGGTTGAGAAACGCAGTCTTAGGTCTCGCTTTCTCCAACTGTAAAATGAGCACAGCGACCCCTACCCAGCCCGCCTGCCGGGCTGGTGGGCCGGAGCGCTTCAGAGGTCAGCAGGGCAACAGGTCTGAGCCGCCTGGAGTCCGACTGTCCTACAGTCCTTGGCGGGAAAGACAAAGGCACTGCATTCCTCGGAGCTCTGCGAGCTGCTTTGTTCTGGGCTCCACTGGATCCCTTTCAGGTCTGGAACAAGTCCATTCTGTTCTTCTACCCAGCAAGTTCAAGGAGTTTCCGGTCCTGTCACCTACTAAAGTAGTTCTTTTTTTTTTTTTTTTAAATTATTTTTAGAAAGAGGAGAAGGGAGGGAGAAAGAGGAACATCTATGTCAGAGAGTTATCGATTGGTTGCCTCTTGTATGTGCCCTGACCAGAGACCGAGCTCGCAACTCAGGCACGTGCCCTGACCGGGAATTGAACCAGCGACCTTTCGCTTTGCGGAATGATGCCCGGCAAAGTGAGCCACGCCAGTTAAGGCAGTTCTTTATCTGTTCAAGACTGTTTGGCTGGCACTCAGCCTGGTCCCCAGAAGAAAGATGCTGAGTCACTCAGCTTGTTTTCCAAAAGCCTACCTGTCCCCTCCCCTGGGATCCCATTTCCACATCCTTATTTTTAACACCTTAGTCTGGGGATAACTTATTAAAATACATATCTGGGGAAGGTAAGTGAGTAATTAGGATTAGGAAATTTAGATAAGATCCTTCCGAGGAGCTAAGGGCAGGCAGCAGGTATGGCTCTGAGCATCTCAGCAGCCACAGCAAAGAGGGAGATGCAAGCGGTTACATTATTTCCGGTGTGCATTAAGCTAAACACGTATTTTCTTGGAAGAAGAAAGCCTTTTCTGACACTGAGGGCTGAGGAGAAACTCTGTTTATTTCGTCCAGCCCTGGACAAGCTGCATCAGCATGATGTATATGTACCATGTAAACACAGTTCTCAAGGTCCCTTAACCATATAATCAGGTCATTAAATGTTCCTGGTTGCAGACCGATGGCAGAGCCCTAAAGCAAAGACTGGGGACACAGGGCAGGACAAGGTGGCCTGAGTGAGTAACTCTCTGACATTGGATTTGATTTAAGAATAAAGTTTAGCACTGGTCGGCACATGTTTTCTGTAAAGAACCAAAGAGTAAATATATGAGGCCTTGTGGGCCATGTGGTCTCTGTTGAAGTCCTTAGTTCTGCCCTTGTGGAGTGGAACCCGCGCAGACAGTGCCCACATGAACAGGTGTGACTATGTCCCAATAAAACTTCATTTCTGGGAGCAGGCTGTGGGCTAGATCTGGCCTCTGGGCCACTGGTGCCTGACTCTGGCTCTAGAAGAAACACTAAAAGGACTCTGCAGCCTTGAGGCAATCGTCTGTGGGACATGGTCCTAACTTAGCTTATAGTAAGCATCAAATAGGAGCTTGAGCTACTCCCTGGGGCAGGGTGCAGAGTGCAGATGTAGCCCATGTTCCTATCAAGAGACAGGTCTTTGCACTTTGAAAATTGCTCAGAGGATAGAGGTGGCATCCTGACGAAAGAAACAAGACATTCATCAGGGCCTATGACTGAGGGGCTGATCACCTGGCAAACACATCCAGTGCAAGCTGGGGTGCAGGAGGTGGGGGCAGGCAGAGTTCAGAGGATGGACTGAATGACCTGGCCAGCACAGTGTAAATAATGTTTATTTTGTCCAGCCCTGTACCAGCTGCACCAGCATCACCTAGGCGCGGTTGAGAAATGCAAGTTCTCAAGCCTCACCCCAGGCCTATTGCTCGAAGAGCTTAGGGAGCAGGGGCCTGCAATCTGCACTTTACCAAGCCTCTGCAGCAAGTCAAGTTTGAGAACTGCCACGTTCAGGACCTGTATTTCTCCTCTTATCAGGGAAAGATCCAGCGGATTCTCTGAAGCCTACACCCAAGTCCTCTCTGACTGCTAATCTCATTCAGAAAGCCAAGCGCCAGAACAACACCTTCCCGCTCTTCGCTGAAGGACTCACACGGAACCGCACTGCCCAGGAGAAAGCCTTGGCCTTGGAGCAGCAGGTTCTGATGCTTACCAAGGAGTTAAAGTCTCAGAAGGTGAGCTCTGGCCCCAGAGATGCCCTGGCTCCAGGAGACCCCTCTGGGGACACACCAGTCTGCGGTCCTTAACAGCCAAACTGTGGGTGGCTGAAAATGCTGTGCTTTTGATTACTCAGGGACATACTGTCACTCAAACTAGGTGACAGAAAGCCTCCAAGGGCCGGTGTCTGGGACTTACTTTAATAATTGCCTCTCAGACTCCTCCTAAAGGACTATGTCTGGTCTGACCCCACACCCAGTGAGGGACAATATTTGGAAGAGGGTGATCTGGATGCAGCGTTCTGGGAGGGGCCCTCGAAGGAACCGAGGTGGGGCGGGGGATCTTTGGCCTGGCAGCTGGTAACTGGGCCCAGGTTTCTGAAGGTCCATCACAGGACAGAGAAAGCAGGCAGTTCTCACGGCCCTGGGGCTGAGTCAGGCCCAAGAGGGGACAATAACAGAGAGGAAGATTTGGGCTTAATAGAGAGAGAAGTTAATTTTAGCTGTTAAAAAAAAAAAAAGAAAGTTACATGGTCATTGTAGAAAACAGGTCACGCTCATACACAGACATGAAAGCCATTAAAAATCCTACAACCCAAAAGTACATCATGTTCACATCCAAGGACTCCTCAGGAAGCAGCAAAGGTCATGTGGCAGGAAGGCGAAGGTGGTTTGCAGCGTTGGACAGTGGGCCTAGAGCAGCTGCCTGATCCCTGGACCAGTACAGCTTAAATCCCATACCCAGGCCACCTGGACAGGGAAAGAAATCTGGAACATCCTTTCCCTGTATCTTCCCCTTCCTTCTAGGAAATAGAGGCAGCCTCCCTTGACTTGGCCTTTCCTTCTAAGGCATTGTGAGCTGGCATATGGAGTAGAGGGGCCCCAGGAGACCAGGCTGTCATGTAGGGTCGCCCCTGACAGTGCTGCAGCTCTGGAGGGCACCCCATTCCTCACTAAATGAAGGCAAGGTCAAGGAGATGAGTAAGGGCCACTCAGGCTGTTGGCAACTTCCCAACAGTCAGAGTCAGAATGTGAAGAGGAAGTTGTAAAAGCGTTAAAGAATCTGGACTGTCTGACTGGTTCACTTTCCAGCAAGCCTCAGCTCTCTCTTCAAACAGGTCTTGTGGTTTAGCTTTTGACCTGCAATGAGAGTGGATTTGCATGCTCTCTGACCCATCTCACAATTGCGCTCCGGTCTAGTGGGTAATTCAGAGCACAGGCCTTTAGACCAGCTGGTGCAGACCCCAGTTCTAGCCCTGAGCAAGCTTCTTAACCTCTACAGCCTCAGTTTCCTCCTCTGTGAATGGAGTTATAACCATGTTTCCTGGAGAGGCCTGTGTCCAGATTCATAAAACCTGCTTGCCTGGCACATAGCAGCCGCCCAGCAGATTCGGACTTTGATTATTTGGCTATTGCTGGTATTCCTTGCCCTTCTTGTTGCTTCCTCCCTGCCTTAGAAGGAATGATGCACCCACTTAGGGGCTCTGAGAAGAATGCTCTTGAGGAGTTCTGGAAGCACATGTGAGCCCATGCGGGCCCCCAGGAAATACGCGCTTGTGGGGCAGAGCAATGATGGATGGAGGTCACGTCCTCATTCTCTGTGAGGAAGGTGGTGCCCCAGCCCTCTCAACTCTGAGGTTTCACTTGCAGCCCAGATACCAAAACCAAAGAGGGGAAGGAGGAAGGGAAACCAGCTCTTAGCCCAGAGTGGGCAGAGGAGGCTGGCCACCACCTCGGAATGCCGAGCCCTGGGTACTCGGAAACCCTGGTCAGAGAGCAGCTCTCCACCTGACCCTCCGACTCCGGCTCCTCCGCTGCGGAAACAGCCCCCGGACTTCCTGGGCCCACACCTCCAAGGCGCCCTTCCCGTGGCGCTTCAGTGAGAAGGCGCCATCTTTCTACCAGAGGCTGCAGGAGGACATGGAGCGGGAGGCCTTGTTCTGGCTCACACAGCCAGGTGGCCATTGCCAATAGCTTTAGTGATCCTTTAAGAATTTGTATCTCAAACTCTGTTGGATGCCATGGAGGGCCCTGGTCTTCTCTCCAGGTTCAGGTCTCTCATCGCAGGCTGCCTCCTCCATGGTGTTGTGGTACCCGGCCCAGGATCAGACACCCCTGCTCTTCAGAGAAAATGGCACGAACTCTCTGTGCCTCCCTGGTGTCATGTTAAACCACAGGGCGACTCTGATACCCATTAAGGCCTTCTTTATCCCAGGCCCTATGCTGCTGGCCCCACAAGAGACGTGGACTCCCGGAGACAGTAGCAGATGGCTGCTTGGCCCGGGGACTCAGGCTCTCGGAGTTGACAACTGCACCACCCTGAGGGCTGTCTGCTCTGGCAGATGGAAGGCTGTTGTTTGTGGGGACGTTCACCATCTGTTGGCTGCTAGGAATGAGGGACTTCTCCCGGGCCCTGCTTGGGGCCCTCTGGGGCCAGCGTAGTTCACTCAGGATTACTTGGTGAAGACATGTAATTTGTTTAAGAAACTCAGTGGGGCGAAGTGCAGCCTATTATTTCCCTAGGACCCAAGCCAGAAAGTTCAGTGTACGCTCCTGCCACACACAATACGGAGACTTCAGAGTGCGCGCCATGTGACGTGGCTTCTTTTATATTATTTTTTACAGCACAAAAGCTGCTTCAAAATGGCATGTATCATGTTTCCATTTTTGTTTTCATTTCTAAAAGGTATATATATGCATTTTTGTGATTGGCTTATTTCACATAGCATAATGCCCCCAATATTCATCTATGTGTAGTATGTGGCAGGATTTCCTTTATTTGTAAGGCTGAGTAATATTCCCCTATGAGTGTGTGCATGCATGCATGCCATATTTTACCTGTTTACCGTCAATAGACACTGGGTTGTTTACACCTCTTGGGTATTGTGAATAATGCTGCTATGAACATGGGTTATTTCTATTTTTAAAGAAATTCAAAGAAACATTTCAATGTAAAATCCATGAACTATGCCTCACGGAGAAGTGAGGGATCCTGGATTAGGAGTTGGGAGCACTCTGTTATGGCCTGTTTTTCCGCTCATGGGTCTCTACCAGCTCCCTCTAGTCGTCGTCTTCCTCCTTTCTTGGACTTCAGTCTCCCCCTGTGATAGCAACGTGGCTGGGCCAGGTCTCCCAGGGCCTTCCAGCCTCTAGGTTTTCTGAATCCATGATCCATTCCCACTCCATTTTTAAGCTTCTTGCTCTGGCTCCATGCCCTCCACCCTCACCCTTTCCTTTCTCCCTGCCTCACTGAGTGGGAGGAGAGCCTTCTGGACTTGTGCCTTGGTCTCGGATTTTGAGATGTGGGGAAGGGGGAGACAGCCGGATGTAATGAAATGGGCTTCAGAGTTGACTCTCCCAAAGTTGGGGAGGAAATACCTACACAATTCTGAGCCTCAGGCAAGTCTGAACATGGGCGGCTGGTGGTTATTGCACCAGGCAGTTAGCAAGATGATCTCCAAATCTCAGCTGACCCAGAAAATGGTCTGGGTTTATCCTGATACCTCGGAGCCACGTCAACGCTAATCTCTCCGAGCAGGGCCCTGGGAACGGGTTTCTTCACCGTTTGGTATACACTCCCCCTCCCCCAGCTCCTGCAATGCCAGAGGTCTCCCACAGCTCCTCACCCGCTCTTTCATTCCCCTGGGGCTTTGCCTGAGCTGTTGGTTCAGTGGTCTGGAAAGCCAGCCCAGCTCTCATCTCCTGCCTGCTGCTTGGCCAGCTCTGGCCCTCCTTATTCTTCAGTTAAACTGATCTGCTTGTCTGTAGGAGGTGCTGATCTCCCCGCCCTGCCACCCCAGGCAGAGGTCATTGCCGTCTGCCCTGGGCCCCCACAAACACCCTTGCTTCCCTCTGTTGAAGGAAGTCACTCTATTACAGCGGCTCATCTTCACTCTCACCAGCCTTTGTGGTTTTTGAAGGTGGGAACTACAGCCAGTCCCTCCCTGGGCGCCAGCCGCTGGCCCAGGGCTTGGCACTGAGTGGATGCTTGATAAAGGCTGGATGGAAGGGAGAAGCAGAGAAGGAATAGCACCGAGGTTTCAGGAGACGTGCGCTAATGTGGCTTTGTCAGTAACTCTTCATATAGTGTTATGATATGGAGCTGTTCTCCTCCAAACAGAATTGTTCTTAGCAAATAACCCTATCCCAGCTGATCCATTTATTTAAATGCTTTGGCATAGATACAGTTACTGTGTTTCCAGGAAACTGTGTTTTTCTAGATGAAGCTGGAATGGGGCACAGCAAGAGCCTAAAGACCCTCCCTGTGAGATTCGTGAGGCTCGAGGCAGTTAGTATGGGGCTGGTGGCTAGGCTGCCTCGCTTCTGATAATCTGATCCTGGCCCTGAATGAATCCACGCCCCTGCTTTGGGGCAAGACAGGTCCTGGGGAGGTTGGCACCTCAAAGATATTGGGGGCCAAGCAGATCTTGAGTTTCCATGTGAATGAATCACATGCTCCACCAAGGTGCCTTGCAGGCATTGCTTGGTGGGGAGGGAGCTGGGCACGAATGGATTGGCTGAGGATCTCTGTGTGTGGCTTAGCTTAAGGATTGACAATGTCCTTCCTCTGTTGCTGCCTCAGCTCGATTGGTAGTGACTGCCTAGGTGCTAAATTCAGAAGGATTCTGAAGCCTCCACCAGGCCTCAGAAGGAAGAATTATTGAGGTCAATTAGTAATGCCTGCCACAGGGGAGGCGGGAGAGCAGTGTGCATGTGCCACAGCACCTCTGCTGTCCTTGCTGACTGAGCACAGGCTTTGGAGTCCGGGAGATTTGGGATTAGATTCTACTCTAGTCTGTTGGGCCTCAGTTTGTTCTTCTCTGAAACAGGCAGGTATTACTCAGGGTACAACCTCTAAGTATTTGTGGCCTGAAGCAATATGGAAGTTTATTTCTCACATTCTCGTGGAAGAGTCCAGCAGTTCTGAGCTGGTGAGGCAACTCTGCCATCCTCAACATGCAGCTGTGAGCCCAGTGTGACTGCTGCAGTTCTCGCCTTTTCCCAGCCAGAAGGTCCACTGGACCAGGGGAGCATGTGTGGAGTGGTTTCAAAGGTATGACCCAGAAGCTGGCCACGCCATTTCTTGCATGCGGTGCAGTCGTCACTTGGCCACATCCAGCTGTAAGCTTAGCTGGAAAATGTAGCCTTGAGCTGGGGAACCAGGTGTCAAGCTAAGACTCTTGAAAAGAAAAAGAGAAAATGGGTGCTGCGATGAGACAGCATAGAGGGCGATGCCGGCCACCTCTCCGGGCAGTAGGAGAACTGGTGAGAGCACACGCCTCACCTCTGGCACCTTCCCCGAGCTCATAAGATGCTTCCGTTTCTCCATGCAGGAGCTGGTGAGGATCCTGCACAAGGCGCTGGGGGCCGCCCAGCAGGAGAAGAGAGCGACCAGTGCGTACCTGGCAGCAGCCGAGGACAAGGACCGGCTGGAGCTGGTGCGGCATAAAGTGCGGCAGATTGCGGAGCTGGGCCGGCGGGTGGAGGCCCTGGAGCAGGAGCGGGACAGCCTGGCGCAGACAGCGAGCCTGCGGGAGCAGCAGGTGCAGGAGCTGCAGCAGCACGTGCAGCTGCTCATGGACAAGAACCAGGCCAAACAGCAGGTCATCTGCAAGCTGTCTGAGAAGGTCACGCAGGACTTCATGCATCCCCCTAACAAGACTCTCGTGCCCCCAGATGCTGCCACCAGAGACTTTCTGAGCCAACAGGAGAAGATGGAGCACCTGAAGGTAGGGGCCCCTCCCTCCAGGCCCAGGGCCCCTGGGGAGGGCCCTGCTCTCCACCCTAAGGATTTTCAAGATATAACAGGGATAACCCTTAATACTGGGATGCTCATCTTTGAAATAGATGTTAGTGGAAATATTGCTACTACTGCCTCACTTTTCATAACTAGAAGGCCCAGTGCAGTTTGACCTTTTTATGGTGTCCTTGGCTGAAAAGGGAAGGCGTCTCTAACTTATCAAATTAGAAAGAGCCCAAGATGGGTCAGAACTCCTGAGGGCTAGATCAGCTGTACACCTGGGGCCCGGCCTGGTCCGGTTCCTTAGGGGTCACTCTGCTGCCGTGGGGAGCCCCCCTCCCCCTGCAGTCCTGCACACAGCACAGGGGGCTGGCCACGGCCTGCTCATAATCATGGCCTTAGTCACTGCTCCCATCCTAAGTGCCCTGACCTGCATTGTTCATTTAATCCTCGCACCAGCCTCTGAGGCGGTCACTTGTGTGCTCCCCGCTTTATACAGAGCAGAGCTGAGGCCGAGGAAAGTGAAGATACTTGCCCAGAGTCGTGGGCTGAGGAAGGGGGAACTGGAACTGGGTTGGAGCACGCATCTCTGACTAGTCTGTCGGCTCTGCTGCCTTCTAGCTTCTTCGCCTCTTCTAGCTATGGCCGCCGCCCCAGCCTCCCCCTCGCCCAGGCTGTGGCTCTCACCTGGGACCAGTTGGATTACAGGAGGCAGGAACTTTATTGTAGGTGCGACGCCTGCCATGGGCAGTAGGGCCGTCCCTCGAGGGTGGTGACAAGAGCTGCCAGAACATCTGGAGGCCTGAGGCTGGTGATAGGTGCTCACAGTCCCACTATCCCTAAAGGCAGCCATAGAGCCAGGGCAGCCCTGCCCCAAACTTAGCCACTCGCAGCCACGCATGTATACATTTGTATAACCAGGGGCATTCTTGTGTTGCTGTAGCAAAATTCAAAACAAAATCCTTTCAATGCCCATGCAGCTAGGTTGGTAGGGAGCTCTCAGCCCTCGCGCAGCAGTGAAAATGGCTTCCAGCGCGTCTATTTCCTGCCCAGGCACGCCCATCCTGCTGGGCCCCACTGGGAACCGGGACGCCCCTGAGGTTGCACGGGCAGGAATTTAATTTATCAGCAAGCCCAGCTATGAGGGGACTCTGGTGCTGATTCACATCAACCACACTTATATTTGTAGCTGATCCTCAGAGGCCTAACATTTTGTGCCAGAAAGATTTGCATGTACTAGAGTTCTGTAGTTGTTAGTCTTTAGGCAACTGATCTAGAAAAAAATAGAAGACCCATCAAGAATCCATTGTCTGAGTTTTGGGACATAGTGTGTTCCCGCTTCCTGCTTACTCTGTGATTGAGAACAGTGATCTTTAAGGAAATACGTCATGGTTGTTGAAACTGTCAATTAGAGACTAGAATCACTGACCTTAAATATCAGAGCTGGAAAGACTCAAAGATCTAGTCTGCCCTCCTGCCCCTCCCCGCCTCCATTTTCTGGCAGGGACAGCCAAGCCCTGGTGAAGTGAAGGGACTGGCCCAGGGTCACATGGCACAAGCAGCAGGGTTGCAACTAGACCCCAAGTTCCCCACACCCAGTCCACTGCCTGCCCGGCTGGCACATGGGCTGGTCCACACAGTGTTCCCCAAAGAAATTCCCCAGGTTCCTGGTCTCTGGAGGCAGGCAGGCAGCCTCCTTCCTCCTGTCTCTCCCCTTTCTTCAGCTGTATTTTCCTCCTTTGCTTCACTGGTGACTATCATGTGGCTTTTCTGTCCTCTGAGATTTCTCTTTTTCCTCCCTACAGTTCTGAGCCAAGAAGAACACTCAAGGTAGGGCGATGAGCTGAATAGGAAGGTGCTGCCCAGACGCCAAGCCCACCCCACACCGCGGCTGCTCTGGAGTGCTCAGTCCTGCCCTCCCTCTCCACCCTGTGCAGCCTGTCCAAAGCCTGGGCCGGGGATGAGTAGAGGGGGACGGAAGCGGAGCAGGACCAGGCGGTAGTGCAGAGCACGCTCCAGCAGCGGGCTCAGTGCCTTTCACCCAGAAGTAGCTTTCACCTGGGTTCGTTCTGCCTCTCTCCGTACCCGCTGTGTGACTGAGGAGCTTACCTTCTCTGTGCTTGCTTCTTCGTCTGCAAAGAGAGAACGATCGTGCTTTAACATTTAACCCGCAGCACTGTGGTCAAGATGAAATCACGTACATTAAAAAATATGGGAGAAGTGGGCCTGGCACATAGCAGGAATTTGGGCAACTGGTAGTTCTTCTCCTTGCCCGGACGCTTGTTCGTTCTCCCAGGCATTTGGGAAACATGCGCAGTAGCAGCAGTCAGAGATGCCAGAACTCGACGTGGGAGATGACATGTGCCCGGCACCTGCCGTGTGCTGGCCACCGTTCTGAGCCTTTTGCACATATTGGCTAGTTGATTCCTCCCGACAGCCCCTGAGGTAGTGCTATTATCCCCGTTTTCCAGTTGAGGACATAAGGCATAGAAAGGGGGAGTAACTTGTCCCAGGGCTCAGTGGCAAAGGCAAGATTGATCTCCAGGCAGCATGGCCTCGGCGTCCCTGTCCTGACGGCCAGGCAGCCCTGGACTCGGGCAGCACATGAATCATTGACATGTTGTTACTACAGTGCCAGTTCGGAGAGGTCAGACAAGCCTGTGAACATTCAGCCAGAAGACACCAAGGACAACCTTGAAATCTGGGACAAGAGTTTTGACGTCAGGTGGATTCCAGCGGGGAGGGAGATTAGAGAGAGGCAGGGCAGTAAATGCAGTGGTTAGGACTTGGCTTTAGAATCAGACAGACGTGGGTTAGGTCACACCCTGCCTCGCACCACCAGCTCTGTGACCTCAGGCCTCTCAGAGCCTCGGAGACCTCACCTCTGTTACACTCTGAGCTGCTGGGAAGATTTTGTCAGATAATGTGCTCCGTGTGGGGATGGGGCGTGGCGCTGACGGCACGGGGCTCCCGTGCAGCCTCTGTGTTCCTGAGTTCTCTAAATTTCCAGACACTGAAGTGTATGACTGTCATGGGAGCGAGCGGTCCTGGAAAATTCTGATGCTCGCAGGAAGCTGGTGCTGGTGCTGCAGACATGAAGTTTCCCACCAGTCTCACTACCCTGTGCCACACGTGGATAAGGAGGTGGGGGTCATGAAGGGGAAGCAGGCAGACACTTGCCCAGATGAGCAGCCAACAGCCCCAGCAGCATTCCCAAGAAAAAGAGTCTAGATTTTGATCTAGGGCAGAGATGCAGTTGGAGGTAAGAGGAAGACCTGGCTGGGGAGCTGGAACTGCCTGGGTCCTGGCCAGCAGGAGAGCAGAGCGCAAGTAGCCTGGACACAGTGAGGGAGATGAAAGCAGGGGGCGTCTGGGGTTAGGGACATTAAAGGGAGCCCCAACAGAGTAGTGAGAGGCCACGTGATGAAGTCAGCCCAGGGCATTTATTTCCCTGGGAACACGTGGCCCTCCCACTGTGTCAGCTGTCTAGGAAGAAGGCAGCAGACCCTGGGCACGAACTGGCGCTTCCAGGATGGGTCAGAATCGCCTACACGCTGTGTGCAGTTGACCGTTCCCTGATAATGAAACACCACAGGCTAGGTATGAAGTTGTTCTTAGTTTCTGGATAAGCCAGCGTCTATCAGTCATCCCTGCAGTAGCGTCTCACACTCACCTATAGCCCAGTACATTTTCTTGAGTGAGAGAGAAAGGGATTGAGTTTCAGCTGGTAAATGCCCTGGAATTGCTAGGTGTAGCTGTGAGTGTGTGTTGCTTCTGCAATATCCATCCCAGTAGAATAAAGACCGAGAACCATTGCTGGGACGGCCCCTTCCTGAGGCTCAGGCTTCCACTTGAACCTCCCCAGTGCCTGGCCAGCTTCTCCTCACACAGCCCAGCCGCTGGGTCTTACTCTCTCCACTGGGCAGCTGGAAAAGAAAAACTCGAGGCTCAGAGAGGTACACATCATTTTTCATAGTAAAAAACAAACTGAACAGCCAGAGCTCAAGTTTAAAAACAACAAGAAGAGAAGGATTATAGCTAAGTTATGGTAAATTCACCCAATAAAATAGTCATCTGACTTTAAAAGTGATCACTGGGAAGCTTTTGTAGCAACATAGAAAAGTATTTACCAAGTGACACTAAGGAAAAAAATGTTCTGCCCAAAATTGTTTAGTATGATCACAAATGTATGACAAAATATGTTTATTTTAAAACACACACATTGCTTGAGTGTTTGTTATGTTTTGGTTCTGGGCTTGTTATGTTTGGTCGTGGTTTACGACACGTTATTCACTTGGCCTCCCTGCCGCCCAGTGGGGTAGTTGGTCTTTGTTCTTTTTACAGATGAGGAACCAGGTGGTCAGAGCAGTGCAGTGGGGTCTCCTGGGCAGGTGGGCAGAGCCAGGACTTGAACTGCAGACTCAGTGCTCTCTCCACCCTTCAATACTGGGATCAGAATGCGAGAAAGGGACTATGAGTAATATTTGTTTTTCCTTCAGACTTCCTTTTCTGTTTGCATTATTGGAAATTTCTAAAGAAAGGAAGTATTGGCAGCTCTTTTGAGGGTGAGGGCCTGGGAGATGCTTTTGGTGCAAGTCCTTAACTGCTGTGCTCTCCCCTCCAGGACGACATGGAAGCGTACCGGACCCAGAACCGCTTTCTCAACTCTGAGATCCACCAGGTCACGAAGATCTGGAGAAAGGTGGCTGAGAAGGAGAGGGCCCTCCTGATGAAGGTGAGAGGCGGGCCCCCCGTCCCGGCCGTCTCTGTTCCCGCCACCCTTTCAGTCTCCTCACCCTCTCACGCCTGTGTCACTCTCCTCATTACCCCTCTGCTCTCCCTCTGGCCTGTGCCCTTCACGAGCTGTCTTCCCGGCGTCAGGCGTCTGTGCTCTGATAGCTGCTTCTGGTCACAGGGGTACAGAGGAAAAGGCAGGCCCTCGTTGCTGTTGTATGTTATTTCAAGCCCCTCCTGGAGAAAGCAACTTCCAGGGACTTTAAAGAGCTGGCACCCTTTTTTCCACCTTTATTTTTCTCTCTTTTTTTTTTCCTTTTTTAAGCCAAATATTAAAGACTAAACATTCAAAAACAGCTGCATATATGATAAAACTTAGAAAGTTACCATGCGTGCTCAGGGAGAGGCTCAGGAAGACCTGAGAAGACCTTAAAGTGTACACTTCGGCTGATTCTTGGCACAGAGGCAGCCTACAACAGTTAAAGAAAGAAAAACAATTTTTTAAAAAACTGCAAACCCTGGGAAAGAGGGAGAATCTGATTTCCAGATTTACCACATTATTAGATTCAAATGTCCAGTTTTCAACAAATTATCACAAGATATACAAAGAAACAGGATAATATGGCCCATTCAAAGGAAAAAAAATCAACAAAAACTATCCCTGAAAAAGACCTGCTGGCAGATATACTAGATAAAGACTTTTACACAATTATCTTAAAGATCTCAAAGAATTAAAGGCAGATATGAAGAATCAAGAAAGTAATGTACGAACAAAATGGAATCTTAATATATAGAAAACCTAAAAAGAAACCAAAAGAAATTCTAGAGCTGAAAAGTATAACAACTGAAATGAGAAATTCACCAGAGAGATTCAAAGGAAGATTTGAGCAGACAGAGAGAATCAGTGAAGATGAAGATAAGGCAATGAAAATTATCGAATCTGAGAAACAAAAAGTTTGGAAAAAAATAAACACCAAGTGAACCGACAATACCTATTACATTCTGGGAATCCCGGAAGGAGAAAAGAGAGACAAAGGGGCAGAGAGAACATTGGCAGAAACAGTGACTGGAAATGTCTCAAAATTTGATGAAAATGGCTCTCAATATGATGAAAGACATGACTATAAACATCAAGTTTCGTATAAACTCAAAGAGACCTACACCAAAACACATCATAATCAGATTTTCTAATGCCAAAGAGAGATCTTGAACACTGAGATAAGTGACTCATATACAAGGGATCTGCAATAAAATTATGGGCAGATTTCTCATCAGAAACTTTGGAAACCATAAGGCAGTGGCCTGAAATATTCAAAGTACTAAAAGCTATCATCCAAGAATCCATATTTGGCAAAACTTTCCTTCACAAGTGAGAGAGGAATTACGACATTTTCAGATAAAAGCTCTGGGGAATTCATTACCACTATACCTGCTGTACAAGAAAAGCTTAGGGGAGTCCTACAGAGGTAAATGGAAGAGCACTAGACAGTAACTCAAAGGTGTGTGCAGACATAAAGATCTCAATAAGGTATATACATAGCTAGTGATAAAAGCTAGTATTATTATACAAATTGTTTATATCCCCACTTTTTGTTTTCTACATAATTAAAGAGATGACACTTTTTAAAAAGATTTTATCTATTTATTTTTTAGATGGGAAGGGAGGGAGAAGGAGAGGAAGAGAAACACAAAGGTGTGAGAGAAACATCAATCAGTTGCCTCTCGCACACGCCCCAAGCAGGGACGGGCCCCAACCCAGGCCTGTGCCCCGACTGGGCATCCAACGGCTGCCTTTTCACTCTGTGGGAGGCTGCCCAAGCCACTGAGCCTCACCGGCCAGGGCAAGACTACAGTTAAAAAAACAAAACAAAACAATTACTAGTCTAAAAGACAGTAGAAAATAGTTCTAGAATACACACAAAAGGTAATGAGAAAGGAATTTAAACACTTCACTACCCAAAATTAACACAAAAATGACAGTATTGCAGGAAATGGAGGACAAAATAACTTATAAGGCATATAGAAAACAAACAGCAAAATCACAGAAGTCCCTCCTTATCAAGAATTACTTTAAATGTAAATGGATTAAACTCTCCAATCAAAAGACAGATTGGCAGAATGGATAAACACACATGATCCAACTATATGTTGTCTACAAGAGACTCACTTTATATCCAAAGACACAAATAGATTGAATGTGAAATGATGGAAAAGATTTTCCATGCAAATGATAACCAAAAGAGAGCAGGGTGGCTATACTAATATCAGAAAAAAGAGACTTTAAATTTGAAATAGTTACAAGACACAAAGCAAGACATTATACATTAATAAAAACTTCAATACAGTGAGAAGATAGAATAGTTATAATCATTTATGCATCTAATAACAGGCCAGTGAAGTATATGAAGCAGAAACTGACAGAATGGAAGGGAAACACGGACAGTTCTACAACAAGAATTGGAGACTTTAATACCCTGCTCTGAATAATGGGTAGAACAGCCAGACAGAAGATAAGTAAGGGACTAGAGGACTTGAATAACACAATAACCAACTAAATCTAACAGACACACAAAGATCCTTCTGCTCAACAACATTATACACATTCTCTTCAAGTGTATGCATGATATTTTTCAGGACAGACCATATGTTAAGCCACAAATTATGTCTCAGTAGGTCTAAAAAGACAGATGTCATACAAAATATGTTTTCCAACCACAATGGGATGAAGTTAGAGATTAATAACAGAAGTAAAACTGGAAAGTTCACAAATCTGTGGAAATTAAACAACATATTCTTAAACAATGGATCAAAGGAGAAATCACAAGGGAAATTACATAAAGATGAATGAAAAAAAGACACAATAGACCAAAACTTAGGAGGCGCAATGAATGCCTTGCAAAGGAGGAAATTTATAGCTGTAAATGCTTTTTAAAAAAAATTAAAAAGAGCTCAAATTAACAACCTAACTTTACAATTTAAGGAACTAGAAAAAGAACCAAACCCAAGGTAGCTGAAGGACATAAAGATTAAGGCAGAGATAAATGAAATAGAGAACAGTAAAGAAAATCAATGAAAAAAGTTAATTTTTTGAAAAGATCAACAAAATTAGGAAATGCTTAGCTAGACTAAGAAAAAAAGAGACAAGACTCAAATTAAAACCAGAAATGAAAGTGGTGACATTATTGATTCTGCAAAAATAAAAAGGAGTATAAGAGAGTACTATAAACAGTTGGCCCAACAAATTGAATAACCTAGATGAAATGGACAAATTCCTAGAAACACAAAACCCGCCAAGACCAAATCACAGAGAAATAGAACGTCTGAATGGATTTAAAACTAATAAGGGGATTGAACTAGTAATCAGAAATCTCCAGGCAAAGAAAGGCTTCACTGGTGAATTCTAACGAACATTTAAAGAACCAACACTAATCCTTTTCAGACTTTTCAAGAATGGTGCAGACTAGCGAGGGAGTCAAGCACAATCAAGATGCAGTGGGCACACGGGATTCTTTGGGGCCTAAAGGGAGGAAGAATCAGAGAAAGCTTCCTGGTGGAGGTGTCTTCTGAGCTGAGTCCGACAAGTGAGTTACTCTTGTCCAGACAGAGTGGAAAAAAGTCTTCCAAGAAGAGAGGCAGTCAGGACCTGTGGGCTGAGGCAGGGAGGAGGAACAGAGATGAGACATGAGGCTGGAGGGCGTGAACTTGGGAGCGCACCTGAGAAAGGTGGACATTGTAGAGGGGTTTTGAGTGGGGAGGGTCTCAGTCAGACTTTTGTTTTGAGAAAACTGGGTGCTCAGTGGACTTCACGAAGTGGTCCTGGAGGCAGGAAGACTTGGGAGTCTGTAGCAGAATTCCTGAGAAGGCTGTTGGTGAGGGGGCTCGGGAAGCAGCCCTGGAGGTGCAGGGAAGCCAAGGCGGGGCCCGCTGAAACAGGCAGAACAGGCTGGCAGGATGGCTTGGAATCGGCGTTCAGCAAATGTTTGGAGGCGGTGACCCAGGCAGGGGTGCCACAGAATGGCAGCCTTGCCCAGGAGACTCCCACTCCTCCCCCGAGGATGAGACGGAAGCAGGGCCGGCCCAGGGGCCATGGCAGTGATGCAAGGCACGCCTTTCCCGTCTCCGTCTTACGGAGGAGAAAAACGGGGCCCCGGGAGGTTGCCTGGCTTGCTCTGCACTGCCCGGCTTGTATGAATAGAAATGCAGAGTTCGAGGCAAAGGAAGGGTGTGCAGTGTGTGTCCCATGAGGTGGAGGAGAGGCGTTGTGCTGGAGGAACAGAAAGAGCCCACGTGGTGGCCGCGGAAGGTACGGGGCAGTGTCCAGAGCTCCGCGCCCATCCCCAGGCACTGCTCAGTCATACCGCCTGCCAGGAGCTTGGTCTAGGCCTGGGCCCTGGGAGGGGCTTTGCACACATCAATTCCTCCAAGCCTCTCCGGAATTTTGAGGCAGACTCCGTATTGTCCCCATTGTCCAGATGAAGAAGCTAGGGCACAGGGAAGTTAAGGAACGTCCCACCCGTCACCCAGCCAGCAGGGGCCGAACCAGGATAGGACTGCAGGCCCTACAGGAGCCTGTGCTGTCTCTGCCCACCCCTCCGCTATTCCCTCTGAATCCAGCCCCAGCCCTGGGCCTGGGTCTCTCTTGCCTGGTGCCCTCTCTGTAAACCTTTAGATTCAGAGCCCATCTCCTTTCCTCATAGGAAGGGCCGGGGCGGGGAGGGAATAGGAGATGAGAGCTGGGAGAAGGGTGTGCTGCCTGCAGCTCTTCAGGCCTCTGGGGCAGCCCCAGCCCAACCACGTGGCCTGATGAGCACCCCCTTCCCCCCGGGCAGTGTGCCTACCTCCAAGCCAGGAACTGCCAGGTGGAGAGCAAGTACCTGGCAGGGTTGCGGAGGCTGCAGGAGGCTGTGGGGAGCGAGGCCAGCGAGTGCTCCGAGCTGCTCAGACAGCTCATCCAGGAGGCGTTGCAGTGGGAAGCCAGCGAGGCCTCTGCTGACACTGTGGAGCTGAACCCCATCAGGTGAGCCCACCGGGGGCAGGCCAGAGGGGGACCTTGCATCACGGAGGGTCCCCAGCTGCCTTCCTGGCTGAATGTGAACAGCGCACATTTCTTACCTCCTTGTACCTTCAGATAAATGAACATGTGGTTGGGATGGGCCCCGTTTTACAGCTGAGGCGGCACATTGGTGCGCCCGACCTGGGTCTGCCCCCAAGAGGTATCTGTCAGAAAGGCAGGGAGGAGGGGCCAGCCGGCGGCCTCCCCTGAGCCAAGCCCGTGCTGAGCACAACCGACAAGGACAGTTTAATGGCAAAAGGGCTGCAGCTGGAGTCAAAGGCCCTTGGAGGCTGGGTTGCCCAGTGGCAGGAGCTCAGGATTTGGAGCCAGACTTAGGTCTCTCACTGTGTGACCTTGGACAAGTCGCATTAACTCTCAGAGTCCCGTGTGCAGCTTCAATAAGATGTACGTAAGGTCTTGGCTTTGCAGGATTATTAGGATTCAATGACAGCATGTGCAGAGCACACATGGGGCAAATAAATTGAATAAATGAAAGGCCATCAGGAATGGACCGCCAGCTCTCCCATCTCTGTTTGTCATTGGTGCTGTCTGTGCCCCATCTGTTCTGGGCTCACTGGCTGTAGAGTGAGTGCAAGTATATAGTGCAATGTACTAGCACTATATTGACAGTGCAAGACTCCTCGGGCCTAAGGCAACGTGGAGTAATAAGAGGGTCCTTCCTATTTGCACAGATGAATGAGTCCAAGTCCTGTCAGCACTTACTGTGTGCCAGGTGCCGTCTAGGCCCCCAGCAGTTTATAACAGGATCTCAGTGAGTCTTCATGAGACAGAGCAGGAGTTTCTCTACCCATCGTACAGATGAGCAAACTGAAGTTCAGAGAACTGAGGGACTGTCCAGAGCTGCATGGCTAACCCACAGTGAAGCCAGGAACCTGGCCAGGGCACACCCCCTCCCCACTGCGCCTTCTCTGGGGAAGGGCTCTGCAAGGCGCTGGTAACACAGGCTTTTGCTGGCAGTGAGTATGATGAGTACGGCTTCCTGACGGTGCCCAACTACGAGGTGGAAGACCTGAAGCTGCTGGCCAAGATCCAGGTACTGGAGGTGCGCTCTCACCACCTGCTGGCGCACGAGGCTATGGAGCGCCCCCTGCGAGAGCGCTGGGCTGCACTGGGTGAGCTGGCACCCTCCCTCGAGCTCAAGCAGCTGCTGCGGATGGGCGTGTCCCAAGAGCACCGGCCTCGCGTCTGGAGGTGGCTGGTCCACCGCCGCCTCCAGCACCTGCAGGTCCCCGGCCGCTACCAGGAGCTGCTGAGCCAGAGTCAGACCTGCAAACACCCTGCTGCCCGCCAGATCGAGCTGGACCTGAACCGAACCTTCCCCAACAACAAGCACTTTACCTGCCCCACGTCCAGCTTGCCAGACAAGCTCCGCCGGGTGCTGTTGGCCTTCTCCTGGCAGAACCCCTCCATCGGCTACTGCCAGGGCCTCAACAGGTGGGTGAGGACACAGCCTTTATCCTTTAGAGCAGCCCTCTGGCTCTTTGGAGCCTCTCAAGAACCTGGAGGGGTGAGTCCAGGAGGCTTGATGCTGTCCCCACTGTGCAGATGGGGACAAGCAGGTGAGAGGACATGTTCAGGACAGAGGTGGGTCCAGGCTCAGGGTTCCCCGTCCCAGGCTCTGTCCTTCGGTGTGTGCTCAGGGAGGTGCTACTCCCAAAGAAAACATGCTGAGTGGTCCCCTGGGGTTGTGTAGTGCACAGCCCAGGTCACAAATTGTGCCACTGTCTGGGTCAGGGATCATTCGCTTTAGAGGAAGCCCACTCAGTGGAGCCGAAGGAAAAGAGAAGTTGTAAAGGTTACAGGGGAACCTCGCCCAAGCCAGGAAAAGGAAACAGAGCTAGAGACCACGTGGGCACTGGAAGCCAAGGCAGTGGCACAGCCCCGGGGGCAACCTTCCCTCCGTACTCCTGGGTCGAGGTCCCGGAGGATGTGCGGCCCTGAGGTAGGTAGCGCTGCTCTGTTGTCCTCTGTGGGGCTGGCCGGTCTGCGGCTTCTCATTCCGCATTTCTGCTTCCTTCTCTCTCAGAGTAGACCAACCTCTCTGTCCATTGCTCTTTGGACATTTAGGGCCCGTGGAGGCTGTCAGAATGGAGACCTCGGCCCCTGAGTCTAGAGTCTTTCAGCAGATCTTCCCTTCATCGATGCCCTCCTGTCCCAGGTCTACGTTCCCAAAAGAAGGAATCTGATTGGCCCAGCCTGGCTTAATTTCTCCTTCTGGTCCAATAGCAGGAGACATGGGACAGGGCTGGGTGGCCTGGTAGGGCTGCCCCCTCCATGCTGCGGGGGCCTCTCGTGGATGCCCTCAGTCCTCTCAGTAGACGTTGCGTAACCTCGGAGATTTCCCAAAGCAGGTTTTGACTCAGTTTAAACATACATACGCTCAAATGAAATTTACATAAGTCATCCTGCTCCTTTTCCAGAATAGATGGTGTATGACATTTATTCCACACAAAATAAATATTCAGTCTGTCTTTACTCAAACTGGAATGCTTCCCAAGAATAGATATTTTTGATACTTTATTTCCAGTCTGAATTGGGGAAAATTGAGCATATAGGTGTAATTACTGGGAATTCTGAGTTAAACCCCAGAACAGCTAATCTGTGCTGAAGAGGCGGGGGGAAATTCCTATACCAGAAGGGGGTCTTAAGGCTCAGGAGGAAAGAAGCAGGGGTACATAGGAGGAACTGAGACCAAGAGAGAGAGGTGACACCCACAGGGTATTTCTTTACTTCTTCCTCTCGATTTTTTTTACCTGTTATTGGTATTTAGGAAAATATTCATGTTACTGCTTTAAATTGAAAGTTATTTGTAATAGAACCTGTTCAAATGTAGAGGGTGCTGCTTATCCTTTCAAAGGCCCTAAACCCAAGCCGGCAGGCTCCTTTCTCTTGTTGAGTTCCGCCATCTACTGGTGTCCATGGGAACTGCATGTATCATGTCTGGAGGACAGACCCTGCTTACATGGAACACATCTTGCCTGTTTAGAGAGTGAGAGATACCGTGGTAATGATTTAGAGCAAACATTTTTAAGCCATTTCCCTTTAGAATATAAGTGGAGTGCTTTAGAAGTTGTTTTTCCCTCATTGACATATTCCCTTCTTTGTAGACACACTGGACCTTAAATGCCTTTAGTTGGAGTCTGGCTGCAGCCCTAGTTGGTACCAGCAACCTCTCCTCACTGGCCTTTTAATGCCCAGAAACCTAAGCTGATGCTGACAGCCAGCCCCTGGACTGGGCACATCCTGAGGCTCTAGTATAATGGGATGAGGTGGAGAGAACAGCAGGGTGGACTTTGGGAGCCCTGGGTTCTAATCTGCTCCGCTACCCACTGACTGAGTGGCCCTGAGCAAGTCACTTTGCGTTCTGGGCCTCAGTCTTACCGCATCTGCAGACTCTCTCTAGACGAGCAGGAGGCAGCTGCCAGGAGCCTTGTCTTGTGAGAGTCTCTGAGGCAGCCTCAGACTCAGTGGGAAAGGGTGCCATCAATTAGTTATGTCTGCCCTGGGCATAGTCTAAGAGTGATGGCCAGTGTATCATACATTTGCTATCCCTGAACTCAGTGACCTCCGAACCCCGCCCCCCACCCCCCAGCTCTGAGAGGGCAGAGATGGCTAATCCCCAGGAGACCTGTGACGGTGCTTTCCATCCACTCAGCTCAGACTCATGAGGGTTTGTATAAATATTTTAGCCAAAATGGAGAGAAATTCCTTGTCAATCTGCTGAGGAGATAAAAGGGATTTTTTTTTTGTTTTTCTTTTGAGAATTGACCCAGTTTCTCTGAAAAAAACATGAACCTGGGAAGAGGTTGAAAGTCACGAATCCAGCCAGTAAAAGCCCAGAGAAGCATAAACATCTGGGACAAGGAGATGGGCTCTGCATGCCCGCCGCGAGTGAGAGCCTTCCCGGGGCTGTAGCGTGGGATCTCCCTGAGGGCGTTCAGTCGGTGCCCTGCAGCAGGGGCTCCCCTGCCCTGCCCGACGGCCTTGCATTGGGAGGTCACTCGATGTTCTTTTCCCTGCAGGAGCTCTCAGAGGCCTTGCTGAGATACTGTGTTATCATTGGCCTCTGAAAGGGAGCTGGAGAACACAGCACTCCCTAAGCATCTTTGTCTGTGGGACCTTGTGTTCACCTAGCATCATGACAAACGAGTACATTCTGGAAAATGTATTTTTGGATCGTTTCTGGAAAAGACCCATCAGGCAACATGGGAGAAGTAGAGAAAATAGTACTTCTTTCAGGCAGACTTCCCTGCTCGGCACTGTGGGTTTTTTTCTTTCGTACCCTTGATCTCATTAGAGCCCCATGATAACTTTAGGGGAGAGGAGGAGCAAAGAGGAAAAGAACTCCATGCTCTGAGCACCTGGTATATGCCTGACAGGGAACATCTTCTCTCTCCAAGTGCCTCCCAGTCCTGGGAGGTCGATATTAACTGCATTTCACAGGTGGAAGGCTCAGAGAGCTTAGCACACTCGCAGAGGTCTCAAAGCCTGTGGATACTAAGAGAGGGATAGTTAATATATATAAAGCACTCACCCATGTCAGGCACTGTGCTAGGCATTTAACATGTATTAACTGTGTTTATCCTCATAACAGTCCTGCGATTATTAGGAGGATGCTGAAGCTCAGAGAAGTTAAGTAACTTGCATAGGGTCACCCAGCAAGGAAGTGGCAGGACCAAGGTTCATACCCCACTGGGACTTCAAAGCTCCTGCTCTAAGATGATCCTCATTGTTCTGGAAATCCTCAATGTACTCCTCCCCAAAAGCATGTTTGTCTCACCCCAGGTGTCAAGAACACCAGCAGGTTAGGGGTGGGGTGGGGCAAGACTGTCACCGGGACCCAGGGAGCCACATCTGTCACATGCTGCCGGGCTGTGACCTCTGCGGGTCACTCCAGGCCTCCTTCCCTCTCACATAGGCTGGCGGCCATCGCTCTGCTGGTCCTGGATGAGGAGGAGAGTGCCTTCTGGTGCCTGGTGGCCATTGTGGAGACCATCATGCCAGCTGATTACTACAGCAAGACGCTGACAGCGTCCCAGGTGGGCAGGGCCAGGAGGGGACTTAGTGGTTATACGGGTCAGCCCCCAAGTTGCTCCTGCAAGCTGATGCATCTTGGAAAAGTCAGGAATCTCTCAGAATGGGCCAGTACCCTCTCACTGGGACCGCTAGGAAGTTCTGGTGAGCTAATGGCCTTTAGAATTTGGGGGACCCTGCCCACACGATAGATGATGTCATTCCAGCAGTGACCTTATATCATTAGAAGCAGTTGTTTTCCTGGGGAGGGGAGGAGAAGAAAACCCAGGTTCACTTGCTATTTGCCCATAAATAATTTCAAAATAGAGGCCCGGTAGGGTGGAGGTGGTGACTGCTCCCCATACACTCTCGTCATCTGAGAAATACCTCCAGCATCTCAGGACCTGCTCCACTGCCAGCTGAGCCAGGTCAGCCCTGGGGCCCCGCGAGCTAAGTCAGAGCCAGCCCCTCCAGTAATCAGCTGTACGGCCTGGGCAGGTGACATCACCTCTCTGACCACAGGCTCGTCTGCTTTTGAATGGGAGGAACTGCACTTTCTGGGTTTGTTGAGAGGTGTAACCAAAAAACCATTTCAAACCTCCCATCTCCACTCACCCACCTCTCCCTCCTCACCCCTTCTCCTGATTTTGCTGTGTCAATGTCCCCTGCTTCATGGAGAGAGGCCACCTCGAGGGCACTTTGTCACTTCCCAACACCAAATTACCAAGCTGTTCCCTGCCCGCCCATCCTGTTCTGCTTTCCTACTGTGGTTGCACCACACCAATCCCTCCTGGGACACCCACCCGGCTGGGAAGCTCAGGAGAGCGTGGGCACTCAGCTACGGAGTAGGAAGGTCAGGGCTGGCGGTGAAGGGCTAGGATCTTCGGGAAACAGGTGGTGAGTCAGGGAAGGAGAGATTTGGCTGCATGGAAGGAAAGCCCAGACTAAGAGCAGCGTAAGTGAGGGACTCTTACCAGGTAATGACCAGCTGAAGGCTCCTTCCAGCCGTCTGCTCTGCCACCCTGGCATGTGGCTTTCACGCTCCCACTCGTCATCTTGTGGTTAGAGGGCGGCTGCAGCGCCTCTGGCAACATGGCCGTGGCCCAGGCTGGAAGGAGCAGAGGCTGCGAGGCAGGGGCCGGCTCCCCTTCGTGCGGCTTTCCCCGGCCCAGCAGGTCCTGCTTACACCTCGTGGGCGGAACTGTGTCACATGGCCACTCTAGGGGCAAGGCAGGCTGGGAAATGCTCCATACTTTATTTTCACATTTTAACATCCCTGAAGTTGAGGTGTGTTGTAATCAATATGTGATGGTGTGTTGTTTTCATTTTCATTTTTTAGAAAGTTTCATTTTTATAAAATTTTGAATGTCCAAAAAAACTGAGAAAACAATATATGAACCTCCACGTATCCATAATTACCAGCGCTGGGAGGCCAGTGCTGTTTCCTCCCCCACTCCTCCCACTCTCAAGATCTCAAAGTCAATCTCAGACATCTCATCAGTTCATCCATAAACCCTTCCGAAGGTTCAGTGGCATCTTCGAGTGAATGAATCTCCCCAGGTTGTGAGCTGGCCGTTAGGCCTCCGCAGCAGACCTGGGGTCCTGCAGGAGGAAGGAAGGAAAGGGCGGGCGTAGCCACGGCCCACAGCTAACGCCTGGGAAGAGATGCAAGTGGAAGGGGAGGGCAGAGGAGCCAGCGGTTACGGGAAAACAAGGGCAACAGGAGACTCAGAGGGGCCTGGAGGTGGGAGGCCAACCACAAAGAACCACGTCTGAGCCAGGAAAGGAGCCAGTGCTGGGAGTGATCCGCCGGGTTGAGTAAAACAAGGATGGAGGCTTGACAGTCACCACACAGAGGTCACTGGCACCATCACCCAGCAGGATTCCTGGATGTTCAGGGTAGCAGGACAGTGTGACTCCTCCCGATCCCTGCCCCTAGGGCCTCCCCTGAAATGTGTGTGCACAGAGCATCTTGTGCATCATGCCCAAAATGGGCGTAGAGAAGCAGCCATGGTGTCAGCTGGTATAAGCCTGAGCTCCTGCTTGGCTTGAGGTTCAGAGGGGCACAGGGGCCAAAACTCCTCTGGCCACAACCTTATCAGCCCACAGAGCTGTGCTGCTGCGCCTTTTCCCAGCCAGGCTGGCTCTGCGCCCCCGGGCAGGGCAGGACCTGAGCTGTGGATCCAGGACTGTGTGTGGCTGGGTAGAGGGGGCAGGGAGGGAGGGAGGCAGCCCTTCCCTCAGACAGCAGCTGACAGGCCCTCTCGCCGGCCTCCAGGTGGACCAGCGGGTGCTCCAGGACCTCCTCTTGGAGAAGCTGCCCAGGCTGATGGCCCACCTGGGGCAGCACCGCGTGGACCTCTCCTTCATCACCTTCAACTGGTTCCTCGTGGTCTTTGCCGACAGTCTCATCAGCAATATCCTCCTCCAGGTCTGGGATGCCTTTCTCTATGAGGGCACCAAGGTAGGCACTCCCAGGGGCGAGCAGGAGGGTCCTGGGCCAGACCCTTCATCCCCCAGGTCTCGATTCTGCCCTGGAAAGTGGGAGGGCAGCGACACCTGTCAGGGCTGTCGAGGGCAGCTGCTGGGAGCTTGGCTTTGTAAACTGAAGTGCTTTGCACGCATGAGAGGGAGTGGTTCTGCCTCCAAAGATGCTTCTCAAAGCCGGGGCGGCGGGGAGGCTCCTTTACCTGGAGAGGAAGCAGGAGCGCGGCCCAGGAGACACATCCCTCTTCCATCAGTTGCCACTCAAGTCACCTGGGCCCTTCTGTCCCTCTTGTCTGGACCAAGCCCTGGTATAGGAGGTTGGTGCTTGGGTCTGGTCCCAGTTCTGCCCCTGACCTTGCTAGGACATCTGGACAGGCCCTCCCCCGCGGCCCAGCCATTTCCACAGGCTGGCTGGCAACACTGCGCTGCGCAGGTAACAGAGAGCCTGCGACCTCCGCTGCCTGTCCAGGGACTCCCACACTGCCTGGACCTTCTCCCTCTGGGGGCTTCCTGCCCTGGCCCCCCATGCCCCACCTGAGCCCCCGCCTTGTCCCCAGGTCCTGTTCCGCTATGCCCTGGCCATTTTCAAGTACAACGAGGAGGAGATCCTGCGGCTGCAGGACAGCCTGGAGATCTACCAGTATATGCGCTTCTTCACCAAGACCATTTGCAACAGCCGGTGAGGACCCACCCCTGCTCTCCACCTCTCCCACCACCCACACGCGCTCATGTGTCACCTTCTCCAGGAAGCCTTCCCTGACCAACCTCCCCTTGGTAGGTTAGCGCTCCCATAGCCCTGGTGAGCTCCCCAAGGGCAGGGGGCCAGCGCCCTCAGCCACGCGGGCAGAAGGGATGCAGGCCTGCCGGGAAGGCAGGGTGAGTGCAGGCCCCATGGGACACCGTGCCCTGGGCTGACTGTGCTCTCCCCACCAGGAAACTGATGAACATCGCCTTCAGCGACATGAACCCCTTTCCTATGAAGCAGCTGCAGCAGCTGCGGACGGTGCACCGGGAGCGGCTGGAGGCCGAGCTGCGGGAGCTGGAGCAGCTCAAGGCCGAGTACTTGGAGACCCGGGCGTCCCTCAACCCAGTGATGCCCGAGGGTTGCACCAGTGAGGACGAGGGGGATGGGGAGGCCTGACCTGGCCACTTGTGCTCCCCAAAGCCCTTTCTCACCTTCCACTAGCAGGCCCACAGGAGGACAGCCATGGAGCAGGGGTCCACCCCGAGCCCCATCACCGTGTGATGCTGGGCATGCCCCTTCCCTTCTCTGCGCTCCAGTCTCCCCGTCAGAACGTCGTCTGCTGGTTGGGTTGTCCCCTCACCAGCGCACACCCGGGGACGCCGCCCCTTTCTCCTCGGAGCACTCTAGCGTGCAGGCGGGAGTGCTGCCTTCATAGGGAGCCGTGGACATGTTCTGAGTTTATCTATATAAAACAATGTAAATGTGAGAAACAATTCACATGTTTTGGAACTTAGACTGTTCTCAGCAGCCACCTGTTCCTGGGTGAGTGCGCCACGAGGGCCTTCCCGGGCATGTCTGCAGGGCCAGTCCCCCTGCAGGTCCCCTGAGGAGCTGGGGCCTGTGCGTTTAGGGCTTCTGTCTTTCTGGGCGAGAGCGCCGCCCCAGTGTCGGGTGGGTCTGTGTTCCGGGCCCAGCTCCCGACTACCAAGGCCTGTTCCGGAGCCTTGCACCTGTGCCCTAGTTTCTGCTCACAGCCCATTTCAGTGGGGGTGGGGGCCCCAAGGAAACCCCCTGCCCGCCACCAAGAGGAACTTGGTGTGGGGTTTGGGCAGAGAGCCCTGGATCGGTTGTCCAACTTGATCTCCCACCACCAGCTTCATAGGCCGGGGCAAGAAGAGTCACCTCTTCTCAAAAAACGGGTGGTTGAAAGGTGAGGAAAAGGCACTGAGAGGGACAGCTGCAGCCTGTCCCCACGTCAGGGCTGTTCTGAACTCGGTTTCAGTTCTGGGCTCTTCCAGGCGCTTCCTGAGCAGACGAAGGCTTCCACCATCCTTCTCCAGGCGGGGAGTCAAGGCCGCCCAGGGATTGTGGCAGTTCATTTCTCAGCGAAACCCGGGACCGTGCTGGCAGAGCCTTGAGGCCCGCCGTCTCCGGCACGAAGGACTGGTCCGGGGCTCTCGCATGGAAGCTTAGCTCTGCTCTGAGGCTCCCGTGCAGGGTCGGGGAAGGAGGCTGCGTCCATCACATGGGGACCAGAGACAGGCCCCTCTGCCTCCCACAGGTGTGGACCTGGGTTGGCACACCGGGCGCCCGCCTCCCCCACGCTGCACCCCTGCACAGCCCTGGGGAGGACTGGGTTCCTCTCCCACCACATTCACAGGGGCTCCAGGGCGCCCCAAGGACACCAGGTTTCCTGCAAATTCTCCACACGGGGGCTTGTAGGTGTCTCTCATTTTTACTACACTTTTCTCACATGCTGAGGCCCTTCCGTCATCAGACGATGTCTGTGAAGCGTGATGGCCGTGTGAGGCTGGACTCGGGGGTCCTGGCTGTACCCCCACCGACGGGGTGCTGTAAGCCTGAGGGCAGTCACTGGGAGACGAGGAGATGTGACTCTGGCGCTGAGCCTGGTGCCTGGCGCAGAGGAAAGTGCCGCCACGGGCAGAGCGGCCCTTCCGTGCAGAGCAGATCCGCAGGAGGGCCCTGAGGCCAGCAGAAGGCTCCGGCTCAGGGAGACACCGGGCCCAGCTGGTCCCTCAGACTCCAGCCTTGAAAACCAAATTCCTTCCTTGGCAAAAAGTAAACAATCCCAGATCTGACAGAAGCTGCCAGGTAAATGGGTGGCACCCCGCTCGCCTGTCCTCCGTCCTTACCCACCCCCACCTCTTCCTCGTCCTTCCTCCCCTCATCAACCCCTCCAGCCCTGGCCCATTCTCTCCCCCTCCCGCCTCCCTCATCTTCCCTCTCTCCCTCTTTTCCTTGTGTCCCCGCCTCCCCATCCCCGTGCAGAGGAGAGGCTCTGCCCAGAGCTGGATGCCTACACCTCCCCCCTCCCCGCCCCCACTGGGGAAAGGGGTGAGGCTCTGCAGTCGACCGACCCAGCCCAGTGTAACCTGACCTGGTCCCTACTTGGCTACACCTTGGAATTGCCTAAGCAGCTTTTTAAAAATGCTGGTGCTGGGCCCCACTCAGGGCCTGTTGCGGGCACGGGCGTTATGACGCACCGGAGAGGTCGGGCACCACAGAACGATGAGGACAGACTGATGGGGCCTCCTCCAGCCCTGTGGGCAGGACCAGAGCCAGGAGTGAGAACTGCCTGTCCTAGAGCCCCAGCCTCCGACTGGCCGAGCTGGGCTTACAGATGAGGAGCCAAGGCTCAGGCCCGTCAACTTGCCCAAAGTCACACAGCCACTGAATGTTTGAGGCGTGCTCCAGCCTGAAGTCCTTCCAAGCAAAACCAGGGAGGGCCCCTCCCTGCTCACCTCCCCTCGTACGGAACCTAGAACGCCTCCGCCAGGACCCAGGGGAAGGGGAGGGCAGGCCTGGCCCAGGGCCCCCGCACGGTGGAGGGCCCGTAGGCACGGCTGCAGCAGAGGAGAACGGGAGGCCGACCAGCCGGCTGCAGCAGGGACAGGTGGGGATGGAGTCAGTCCTGACAAGGCTGGGGCGGCTGCTGCTACTCCTAGAGAGCCGGCCGACCCTCCCCCTGCTCCTCCTGGAGGGCTCCAGGGCCTGGGCCTACCGGTGGTGTCAGGTTCCTGGCCCAGCACGGCAGCTGTCGCCCCCATCCCCAGGGCCCGCTGGCTTCCAGGGCTGGAGGATCTGATCCCTCACAGCCCCACCTTCCTACTACCCCAGGGGATGGGACCTGTTGCTCAAATCACCTCTCCATACGTTAAACCCCCAGCAAGCTGAGGTCCACACTCCATTCTACAGGGGAGGTGGAGGGAGTTACCCCAGGGACCTCCCTGGGCCGAAATTCCCAAGAATAAAGGGACTGCTTAGAGCAAGAAGGGCCTGGAGGGCGCTTTGGGAGCCCCCCACCCTGACCACCACAGACCACCTGTGTCCAGGGCTGCTCTCCCTCACACTCAGAACCTCACCTCCCGGGAGCCGCTGCCCCTATTTCCGTTCAATGTCCCGTGGGCACAGGGCCACATGGTACAGAAAGCTCCACTTTGGGCAGGTAGATGCAGCACTTGCCTCTCTCACACACACACCTATTCTGGTCCCTTCCATGGCGAACTAAACAAAGCAGGCCATGCTAACAGGGAGGAAAGGTGTTGGTTTCCTGGCCCATCCCAATCAGCAGCGTGGCCCAGTAGAAGGTACTGGCAAATGGGGCCAACTCTGGAGCCTGACCTATTATGTGGTTTTCTAGCTTGGGGCCCCTAGGCAAGTCATCTCCATTCTGGCCTCAGTATCCCCATGTGTGCAATGCAGATGACGGTCAGGGCATAGCCTTCCTTAAATGGACCAGGGTTGGGGGAGGGGGAAGGACAGGAAAGCGAGGACCCCCCTCCTCCCCCCACACACAGCACCTCCAAGGAGGGTCCCTCTTACAAAGGCCTCTAACAGCCTCCCCTCTGTCCATCGGTCCAGATGCCCACAGGCCCCAGAGGTCCCTGTCAAACCAGCTTTTCCCCAAACACAGCCCTGGCCACCTACCTTCATGGCACAGGGGGAGATGACGTAAATACAAGGCTGGGAGGCACATCCACAGAGCATCTGGGAAGGCTTCCCGGGGAGGGAGGGGTGCTGGTGCCAAGCCTGGAAGGAAAGATGAGTAGGTTTAGGCAGTGGGAGGTGATGTGGTAAGAGAATTCCTAGTGGAAGAGAAAGCGTGAGCAAAGGCACAGAGGGGTGAGCGTGCAAGGGGTGGGACGGTGCACAGGAGATACCAGGGCCTCAGCGCCACCTGAATGAAGACATTCATGCGCTTTAGCCTCTGACGCCCACCCCCCAGGCGAAGTTAAAAATAAAGGCAATATTGAACCATAAGTATAAGGAACTCCCACAACATTCTGATTTTCCGTGTGCTTTTTTGGAACATCAGAGATCCAGCTCCGTCATGCTGATAATGGAAGTATGACTTCAGCTGGCTTACTGAGCAGGTCCTGGGTCAGGGCCGCAGCGCTGAGGCTTCGCGGCTGAGCGGCTGGGCTTCGGGTGCTAGGCAGGGATCCCGTCCGCTCCGCGCAGGGCAGAGGCCCAGGGAACACTGAGTCACAGGTTTTGGCCCTGGCTGTTCTTTCTAAGGAGATAAACAAGAGCCCCCGTGTACTTAGCGACTCTAAGCCTTGATTTTCTTCTTATCTGTAAAGTGGGGGTAATCATAGTGGCCAAATAAAGGAATTACCAGGATTAAATGAAATAATACATGTCGGATATAGTACAAGTAGGGTATAGTATGTGCTGTTATTCGTTCGACAAAGGTTGAGTGCCTACTATGTTGCAGGCACTGTTCTAGACCCTGAAGATACAACACTGAAAAAAAACCAGGAGCTTTCCTCAAGAGAGACGGAGTGGATATCAGCTTGGGCTTGGGAGCCACGCTGCCTAGTGTTGAATTATAGCTATGTGTTCTCAGCTTCCTGATATGTAAAATAAGTGGGTAATAGCGTAACCTCATAAGCTTGTGTGACGGTTGAGTGAGGTAATGGATTTAAGGTGCAAAGAACAGTGCCTGGTTCCGTAATCGTTAGGTGGTGATCATTCAAAGGCGGGGCTTCCCCATCTCCAGATTGCCTAGAGGATTTAGGACCCCAAGCCTGCCAGACTGCGGAGCAGCGCCCCCGCTCGGCTACCCCGAGAAGGAAGGAAGTGTCCTTCCGACTCCCGGGCGGCGCTGCTTGCCCTTTTGCTCCGAGCCGAATTTACCTAGAGCTTCTGCGGCGGGCTCTGCGCACGCACTTTACCGAACGGGTAAATTAGATCGTCTCACCTAATTCTCAAATAACTCTCTGAGGCAGACACGATCACTGTTTTCATTTCACCAAGGGGAAAACGGAGGCCCCGCGGGAGGTCGAGTCCCTTGTCCGTGCCACGCAGCGAGGAACTGGCGGGACGTGAAGCTAGGCGAGTCTGACTGTTCCCAGCCTCAGCCTGGTCACCGGGGAGCCCGCCCCAATCACTGCGGCGTGTGCGCGCCTGTTCTGTGCGTGTGTGCACGCCCCGAGACCAGCCCCGGGGGGCCAGGAGCGCAGTAAGGGGAGTGGGGAAGGAGGGGTGCCCCCGCGGGGTGCGCGGGCGGGGCCTGTGCCCGGCTCCTGCCCCGCCCACCGGTCCCGCCCTCCAGGCTGCCGGGGGAGGAGGTGGTGGCTCTGGGCGCGGGGACTCGGCGGGCGGCGAGGAGCTCAGAGCCGGATCCGGACGCCACCGCCACCTGCGCGGCCGTCAGCAAGGTAGGGCGGCCCTGCGCTGCCAGC